GATAATAGAGGCAGATGCATCATGGGTAAACAGTAGGACACGAAAGGTTAATGGCGTCAAGGAGTTGGCAACTAGTCCCATATAGTAACTGGTATTGTTTAATTTTTCTGCTGAGATCTTATCGGTGGGGGGTGGGGTGAGGCATAAACTAAGCATCCCGAATAGTGCTAGAGGTCAGTCGTGGCGCTTTGGTCAGCTCCCAGATCTTGATGTCTAGCCACAGAGGTTTATTTTATTCCCCAATTATCTTTTGGACTTCGGACAAATATCTTTCAGACCTTATTAAACTGAAGCTGCGGATTCAAGGGAGGTTTCGCCTTAGATTATTGGAGGGGGTGGTGGGGAGAGGGAATGCAAAAAATACGATTGCAATGAAAATGGCGCTGCGTTTATTTAACGCCTTCTGAAGTGCCCAAGGCAATTTGCAGTGATTCTCTCGAGTAATCCTTCCACCCTAAATGGTAGTCCGTATTATTATTCCCCCCCACACACACTGTGGCAGGAATGGAAGGCCGGGCCCCCGCCCTGTGGCTTCGTGGCTCAGGTGAGATTCATCCTGGGTATTGCCAGGCTAAGCCACCTTTCATCTCTACAATCCTCTGGTCTCACCACAAATGCATGATGGGAGCCAAAAGGTAGGTTGGGGCACCTTGAGGTGCAATAAACAGTTTCTTTTTTTAAAAAAATTATTCGTTTTTTAACATATCATTTTCAACAATTATTAAACATACTTTTATATTTTATACAATTTTTTTTTTTACTTTCATCAATCACATCTGAAAATTTTCCAATCTTTTCCACTTAATTTACATTTCTTACTTTCTTACATTTAAATATCATTTTACATTTACATTTCTTACATTTAAATATCATAACTAATATCTCTCTTCTTTGCAATATTTCATATATTCCTCCTTACAAAACTTCTTGTAGTCCCACTAGCGTAATTTGCTGATTACAGTTGCTCTTCAAATAATTTGTATATTTCTTCCAATCTTCTGTGAATCTCTGGTCCCGCAGGTTTCGAATCCTTCCTGTCATTTTGTCCAATTCAGCGTAGTCCATCAATTTCATCTGCCATTCTTCTTTCATTGGTATTTCTTCTTGCTTCCATCTCTGGGCCAACAATTCTCTTGCCGCTGTTGTTGTGTATAAGCAATAAACAGTGTCTTTGCGGGGGGGGGGGCGTTAAGAGGTTTCCCACAACCTGATTCCATCCAGCTTCCCTGCGTGGCAATCCAAACATCTGTTCCCAGGAAGTAGCACCAAGCCGTGCCATTTCGAAGGTGGCGAGAGTGCTGTTTTCTTAGGACTTAAAAAATTCATGGGATTTCTTCCTCGAGAGCCGTGCGCATGCGATATATTCCCAGTGCTCTGCAAGAACCTGCCATAGGGGTGTGGAACATGTGGCCCTCCATATACTTATTTTTAAACTAATATTATTCACACCGCACCTTGCAGGATACAAGCTTATAAGAAACACATTATGCAACTTTTTTTCTTTTGCAAACTATGCCTGCCTTGGCTTATAAGGAACAATGAGGACCCTTAAGAACATACAGTATTTTTCGCTCTATAAGACGCACCAGACCACAAGACGCACCTAGTTTTTGGAAGAGGAAAACAAGAAAAAAAATATTCTGAATCTCAGAAGCCAGAACAGCAAGAGGGATCGCTGCACAGTGAAAGCAGCAATCCCTCTTGCTGTTCTGGCTTCTGTGATAGCTGCGCAGCCTGCATTCGCTCCATAAGACGCACACACATTTCCCCTTACTTTTTAGAAGGGAAAAAGTGAGTCTAATAGAGCAAAAAGTACGGTAGGTAATAATAATAATAATTTATACCCGCCCTCCCCAGCCAAGACCAGGCTCAGGGCGGCTAACAAGCAATAATAAAAACAAGTTGAATGAATACAACTTAAAAACAAAGTTAAAATACAACAATTAAAATACTGAAATATTAAAATGCAGCCTCATCACAGGAGGAGAAAGGAAAAAGAAAAAAGAAAGAGGGGGAGGGAATCAAACTGGATCCAAGCCAAAGGCCAGGCGGAACAACTCTGTTTTACAGGCCCTGCGGAAAGAAATCAGATCCTGCAGGGCCCTGGTCTCATGAGACAGAGCGTTCCACCAGGCCGGGGCCAGTGCTGATAAGGCCCTGGCTCTGGTTGAGGCTAGTCTGACTTCCTTAGGGCCCGGGACCTTTAGGGTGTTGCTATTTATGGACCTTAAGGTCCTCTGTGAGGCATATTGGGAGAGGCGGTCCCGTAGGTACGCGGGTCCTAGGCCGTGAAGGGCTTTAAAGGTCAAAAGCAGCACCTTAAACCTGATCCTGTACTCCACCGGGAGCCAGTGCAGCTGAAAAAGCACCGGGTGAATATGCTCCCATGGCAAAGACCCCGTGAGGAGCCTCGCTGCAGCATTCTGCACCCGCTGGAGTTTCTGGGACAGCTTCAAGGGCAGCTCCGCATAGAGCAAATTACAGTAGTCAAGCCTGGAGGTGGCCGTCGCATGGATCACTGTGGCCAGTGATCTGACGTTCCATAAAAAAGGTCGGTTGCATCAGGCCAATGGCCCCTGTTCTCATTGTGGCCAAACAGATGCTATTCATTCATTCATTCATTCATTCATTCATTCATTTCCTAGCTTTTCCCCAACAGGAACTCAAGGCAGCTTACAAATAAAAACAAGAACAGGTAAAACCATGGGAAACCAGTGAGTGGAACCAAGCACAAAATACCTCTCTGCACCTGCCGTTTCCAGCACCTGGGATTCAGAAACATTGCTAGCTCCAACTGCAGAGTCAGGCCATGGCCATCCTGGCTAGCAGCCATTGATAGCCCCCTCCCCTCCCCTGTGGATTTGTCTAGCCCTCTTTTAAAGCCATCTGATTGGCCACCCCTCCCTCCTGTGGCAGGGAGTTCTGCAGTTGAATTCCGCACTGCTGGAAGAAGCGCTTTCTTTCTTATTTTTTATACATTTTTATTAATTTTTTAACATATCATTTCCAACAATCATTTAACATACATTATTATCTTGTATAATATTTTAGACTTCCGTCAACTACCTCTGAAGATTTTCCATTCTTTATCACTTAATCTGCATTTCTTAATATCTCTATTACTTTTAATTGTCCTTAACTAATAATTCTCTTCGTAGTCTTCCTTGCAATATTTCGCATAATCCTCCTTACAAATCTTATTGCAGTCCTACTAGTGTAATCTGTTTGTTACAATTGCTTTCCAAATAGTTCAAATATTTACTCCAGTCCTCTAAGAATCTCTGGTCCCGCAGGTTTCGAATCCTTCCTGTCAGTTTGTCTAATTCTGCATAGTCCATTAATTTCATTTGCCACTCTTCTTTTGTCGGTAATTCTTCTGGTTTCCATTTTTGTGCCAATAATATTCTTGCTGCCGTTGTTGCATATAAAAACAATTTACTATCCTGTCTATTAATATCCACCCCTAGAATGCCAAGTAAAAATGCTTCTGGTTTTTTTAAATAAATGTATATTTCAACATCTTTTTCATCTCATTATATATCATTTCCCAGAAGTTTTTTACTTTCTTACATTCCCACCACATGTGATAAAAAGTTCCTTCTTTTTCTTTACATTTCCAACATTTTATTACTTATTTTGTACATTTTAGCTAATTTCACTGGTGTAATGTACCATCTATGGAAGAAGCGCTTTCTTTCAACTGGCCCCCAATCTTCCAGCATTCAGCTCTGTTACTCTTGCCGTGGGGCAGCTGCTCAGAAGGAAAGGGGGGGCAAGGAGACCAGCCTCGCCCTCTCTCTCTGGGAAGCCTTCCCACGGGACCGTGGCCGGTGCATGACTCTTGAGGGGGCAGCATGTGTGTGTGGGGGGGTCCTGTTGTCACACCCCATCTCCCATCAGCTCCAGGCTGTCTTCCATAAAATGTCAAAATCCCACATAACTGGACCCTGTGTGCTCTGTTGCTTACCTTGCCACTAACCCTGGAGGAACAGAAAAAGGCGCTACAAGTAAGAATTAGGATCAGAGTTGTCCACACACAGCCCTTCTCTCTCTCTGGCTGAATTGCTGTTCCGTGGGCGCCATTCTTCCTTGCAAATCGTCCATGACAAGCAATGCGCTGGCCGTTGAGAGGTGGTGTTGACAGCTGCTTTTCTGCTGCGTGCAAGGATTCCACCCTGGCTCGCTCCGCTGTTGTCGACGTTGCCACTTCAGGCAGAGCCACTGGCGCTGCCCAACTCCACTTCCGACAGGCCGTATGAGAGATGGAGTGGGTGGCGGCAGCAGGAATATCAGGCTTCTTGCTCAGAGCAAAGCCTCTCCCTCCCTCCCCTAATTAGCAGAATCCTTTATCATGACTTTCCAAACGAGGACACCTGAAAAACTGCTATTTATGCCTAGTTTACGCAGACAGCAGGTGCGCCTCAACTTTGGGGCGGTTTCCTTGAAAACGGGGTGGAAGCATTCCTTCGAAACAGGTGTCATGGTGGGGGCCTCTTTCAGCAAGGCAAGGCGACTGATGTTGGGTGTGTTCCTGCAAGGTGGCAGAGGAAGGAGGCCAGGGAAAGATATCGCCAGAGTGCCATAAAGCAAGTCAGGGTTTCATTTGCTCTCAATTAGCCGGCTACCTGGGACGCGGGTAGCGCTGTGGGTTAAACCACAGAGCCTAGGGCTTGCCGATCAGAAGGTCGCGGTTCGAATTCCCGCGACGGGGTGAGTTCCCGTTGCTCGGTCCCTGCTCCTGCCAACCTAGCAGTTCGAAAGCACGTAAAGTGCAAGTAGATAAATAGGTACTGCTCTGGCGGGAAGATAAACGGTGTTTCCGTGCGCTGCTCTGGTTCGCCAGAAGCGGCTTAGTCATGCTGGCTACATGACCCGGAAGCTGTACGCCAGCTCCCTCGGCCAATAAAGCGAGATGAGCGCTGCAACCCCAGAGTCGGCCACGACTGGACCTAATGGTTAGGGGTCCCTTTACCTTTAGCCGGCTACCTGGTTGCCTGTCCATGACATCATCATGGAAGGTTACAAGGAAGGAGATTCCGACTCAACATCAGGAAGAACTTTATGATGGTAAGAAGAGGTGTTAAGACAGTGGGACTGTCTCCCTTGGGAGACGGTGAACTCTCCTTCCTGGGAGGTTTTTAAGCAGAGGTTAGATGGCCACCTGCTAGGGGTTCTCTACCTGAGATTCCTGCATGGGAAACCTGATGATGATAATATTTAGAAGACTGTGCATGCACTTCCAAACTTCAGCGTGCTGTGAATTATAGCATAGACACTGAGGTAGGGGTCTTCCCTCCTGCGCTCCCCTCTCCCAGTTGACATCCATCACCAGGGCCTGCCCCCAGGTCTCAGGTTTGGGCCCTGAAATGCCAGGATCTGGGATGCTCCTGAACTGGCAATGCTGGGGAGCAGGTGGCGAGGCTGACAGGGCGTGGCTTGCTTTAAGGCTGCCTAGTGAGTTCTCCGCAGAGGTGAAATTCCTAGTCATGGTGCGTGATGGAGTAGAGAGTCAATCTCTTGACTGCTTTTCACCCCCCTCATTCTAGGAGAACAACTTCCAGCAGCCTGCATCTCACAAACGTCTTCCCTCTTGTTTCTGCAGAGCTCTCAGCGCTTGGGTTTGCGACAAGAGGGAGGGATGATGTCTTGGGATCTGCCTTGCAGAAAAGCATCCTGTGTAAAACTACCTGTCATTATTGCCTTGACAGGGAGATATCACCTAATGCATGTTCCCAAATGAGTGAATGTTGCTGTTGCTGTTTTGTGTAGTGCAGGGGGACCAGCCTCTGCCCGAAGGAGGCTACAATCTAAGATTCCACCCAGGGAAAGCAACAAGAAGGGAGGAACAGAGATACAGGTGAAAGTAAACAGCTGGCGGATTCGCTGACGGATTTACAGGTATTTTGGCTCAGGACTGAGCATACCTTGGTGCTGATTTGTTTAAATGCAAATTGCATCAGCTGATGGGTGGGGCGGGCTTGGTAAACATGGAGATGGGGGTGTAACCTTTCCCCTACCTGAGAAAGATCCTTCCTCTGAACCTGCTGTTTGCACTGGGAGGAAATCCCCCGCTGGTGCCTGATCCTGTTAATTATCGGAGCGGAGCTGATGCAATTTGCATTTAAACAAATGTGCAGGTTTGATGCAAAGATGCCTTGGAAAGTCAGGCCAAGTCTAATTTGGCCCCAAACTTTCCTAGGGGATGGGGATTAACAGGTTGTGCCAAAGACTTCCTGAAAACCGCCTGATCTGTAAGAATGCTTTTACTTCTAGCACCCCGGTATTACAGGAAGTACCAAACTGCCCTGTTGAGAAAAGGGCAACAGAAATCAGCAATGAGATTTAGCGACTCCCCTGTGAAGGAAGGCTGAAGCATTTGGGATATCCCCCCTCCCTCTGTCACAACACTGGAAATTGTGGGGCTCCAATGGAGTTGCATGTTGGACGGACAAAAGGAAGTATTTATTCACAGTGTAAACGATGCAATTCACTTCCAGAAAAGGTAGTGATGCTCAAGTTGGATGATGACGGTCACCTCCAGGCTTGACTACTGTAATTCACTCTATGCGGAGCTGCCCTTGAAGCTGTCCCAGGAACTCCAGCGGGTGCAGAATGCTGCAGCGAGTTTCCTTACTGGGTCCCTGCCATGGGAGCATATTCACCCAGTGCTCTACCAGCTGCACTGGCTCCCGGTGGAGTACAGGGTCAGGTTCAAGGTGCTGGTTTTGACCTTTAAAGCCCTATACTGCCTCGGTCCCTCGTACCTACGGGACCGCCTCTCCCAGTATGCTCTGCGGAGGACCTCAAGGTCCATAAATAGCCACACCCTAGAGGTCCTGGGCCCTAAGGAAGTCGGATTAGCCTCAACCAGAGCCAGGGCCTTTTCAACACTGGCTCCAGCCTGGTGGAACCCTCTGTCTCATGAGACCAGGGCCCTGCAGGATCTGATTTCTTTCCGCAGGGTCTGTAAGACAGAGTTGTTCTGCCTGGCCTTTGGCTTGGAATCCACTTGATCCCCTTCCCCTCTATCCTTTCTCCTCTGATGGAACTCCTATTTGGGGACTTCCCTGGCTTTTTTCTGGCCCACGCAGGACTAGTCTGGATAGTTGACCTTGGTGATGATTCGATGTTTTCATCCCCAAAAAGTTTTTTTATTTGAGTTTCTACTGAAATGAGGCTGCATTTTAGTGTTTTATTTTAATTTTGTTTTTAAGTTGTATTTTAATCCATTGTTGTTATACTTGGTTTTAGCCGCCCTGAGCCCGGTCTTGGCTGGGGAGGGCGGGGTATAAATAAAATTTATTATTTCTTCTTCTTCTTCTTCCTCCATCATCTGAGGCAGAAGACCAGGGGCTGGAAGTCGCAGGAGGTGGGCAGGATCCTGCTTGCAGGTTTCCCACAGGTGTCTGCAAACCCCAGACCATGAGCCTCAAATCCTATGACCAGCTGAGTTTGGCACATCTAAGCAACTCTGAATGGGAGAAGGAAAAACATACTGGAAAATATTTTCAGAATTCATTCATTTTAGGCTTCTTAGGGTATGTCCCCTAGCTGAGGGCATGCCGTCTCGCTTTGGAATCTAGGAAAAGCCCTGCATAGGTCAACCCAAAGGACCATCTATCTCGAACCTAGTTTCTCGAGTAGGGATGGGGTAGATTCAGTTCCTGTTTATAGCCAAATGCATCAAACCCACACATTCCCAAACAAGAACTAAGATACAGTCGCCCTTTGAGATTTCGGATTTTGCAATACAAAATTGTGTGTCGGGGGGAATGCGCATGAAGTATATCGGGGAAAGCAACATACCAAACCGCATTGTGTTACAGAAACCTGCTTGCAGAAATGTGGGCCTTCATCAAAACTGCATGCAGAAATGTGTTTATTAGCAGAAATGTGCAGAAAGGTGCTGACGCATATTCACGAGGATGTGAAAAAAATAATACCCCCACATGTTGCTTCAAAAATGTGCAGAACTGAATTTTAAGATTGGAAAATCCGGAAACTGGGAGAAGTGAAACTGGCCCCCTACTCACAAGCAGCCTTTGGCCGCATGCCAGAGGTGGGTGGGACCAGCGTCAGAAGCAGGTGGAGCAAGGGATGGAAGAAACTTCCCTTTCTTTAGCCGGCCCATGCAAAAATGCCAGAGGCTCATGCCATGCACAGAGCCCTTCATGCAGGCAAGAGGGATCATAATATTATCAGAGTTCACATCCTGGGCAGGCCAGGGTGAAGGAGGGTCGCAACCACCTAAGAGAGGAGCCTGCTGGATCAGGCCAGTGGCTGGATCTCGTCCACATCCTGTTCTCACAGGGGCTGAAGGAGCCCACATGCAGGACTGGCGTCTTCTCCCCTCCTGCGCTTCCCAGACCCTGGCATTCAGAAGCCGGGCACAGCAAGGCCATCATCGTAGCTGGTAGCCACCAACAGCATTGCCCTCCCAGCCTCTTTCATCCCTACATCTTGTGGCAGCCAGTTCCGTAGGTTAACTTTGTGCTGTGTGGAGATTTGGGCAGGGGATCCAGGTGCCCCTGTACAGTCGAAAGGAGCGTCTTTAAGGTGACCCCCGCCTACAACCTAGCCGGTGTGCGTGGTTTCCATTAAATTTAGCAGAAGTTCCTTCTGCCCTAGCATGCATAGGATACAGTACTTCTTGCACCGTCCTTAAAATGTGGATTGGGGGACACACACGCACCCTGCTGTGGCTCCAGTGAGGCTCATGGCCTTCCTTGCAAAGTTTTGACCCGTTGGCCTGATCTCTGAGTGGGCACCTGAGAGGTTTGCGGGTCAGTTTGACAGTTTTTTACTGGGAAGTCAATCCTATTCTGTGTGTATGTGAATATGCGAGAGGCAGGGGGGTGCTGTAAACAAAATCTGGTCTTGTTCAACAATGTAGAGGTCAGGGTGCCAAACTAGGGCCCGAGAGAGACCCGAGTTCAAATCCCCCACTGGGTCCTGAAGCTGGTAGCAATGACAGGCATCACCTCTCAACCTAACCTACCTGGCCCGGTTGTTGTGGAGATTAAATGAAGCCTAGGACCTGGGAGAGACCAGAGTTCAAATGCCGCTCAGCTCTCAAGCTCCCGACCTAGCCTACCTCACAGGGCTGTTGTGGGGATGGATTAGCAGGGGAAGATGAACCACGCCTGCCACCTTGAGCCCCTTGGGAGAGAAAAACGTGGGATCGATTAAGGCAACAAATACAAAGACTCAGCCCGGCATCCCTCCACGCCACGCAGGCTTCGCTTCCAAAGGAGGCGCACAGGGTCCCCGGTTCGGGTTCTGCAACCTCCCAGCGCCAAGCTGGGGTCCCCAATAACCCGCGCGTCCCTTTGGGGGTCCTCTTCTCCGGAGGCGGGAGCTGGGGAGGCCGGCAGACCCGGCAAAGGGGGTGCACGCGCGTTGCTTGATCTTTCCGAGGCCAGAGGCCTCTCCGCGCCGCCATCCCGCCTTTGCAAGACCCGATGCGCCAAAGGGCGCGCTTGCAAAGGGAGGCTCGGCGGTGCAATGCTGCGGGGGAGCCCCTGCGCCGGGGAAGCAGGCGTGCAAGCGGCCCGTGCAGAAGCCGCGCATCTCGGCCCCCTCCCCGGCTTGCATTCCCCCCCCCTCTCTTTGCAAGAGAGAGAGAGAGAGAGAGAGAATTGCTGCAATGTGCACCGAGGAGCCTCGTGAGTGAGTGAGGGCGGCGCAGCCAATCCGAGGCGCCCGCTCCGAAAGTTGCCTTTTATGGCGAGAGCGCCGCCGCGCTGCCCGTATAAAACCCGGCGACGCGGCGCCGGCCGGGCAGCCGTTAAGCGCTCTCTTTGCCGTGAGGATCACTGTTGCGCGCTGGGTGCTCCGCCGCCAAGCTCCCTTTTTTGCCGCCCCCGCCGCTCCTTTTGAAAAAGCCGTCTGCCCCCCTGTTCTCCAGCAAGCAGCCTTGCCACTAACAAAAAGGTAAGCGCCTCTGGTTTATTTTATTTTAATTTTTTGCATTTGCAAAAAATGGAATCCGAAGGAGCAAGGGGGTGGGGTGGGATCTTGGCATTTGCAAAGAGTAAATGAGCGTGCATGGGTTAAAAGGCTTCGTGGGGGGCTTCGGGGGGCTTTGGCACCCGGTTGCGTAAAGTTGCGCGTTGTTGGTGGCTCGCCCAAGAAAGGCGCGCGCCGGGTTTGGGTTGCTTTTCTTGGGAAGGAAGCCCTTTTTTTGGGGGGGGGTCTGGATTCTCGGAGATGGAGGCTCGCTCTGTAAAAGGGGAGCCGGGTTGCATCTCGAGGAGTTGCAAAGGGCTTGGATTAATCGCATGTGCGTCAGCCTTCCGCGGAGAAGCCGCGAGGTTTTCTTTGCCCGGAGTTCGGGATGGGTGGGTGTGTTGGGGGGGATTTGAGGTTTCCTGGTAGGATCGCGCGCCCCCTTTCCCGAGCCCTTTTGCGCCGGTGCCTTTGGACTCGGCGTTCCGGGCTGCGCAGTGGGCTGCGCGCCTAAGCCGCGGCGCGCCCGGGATTTACAACTCCGGAGTAAAGCGGGGGGTGTGGGTGTGTGCCGAGAAACGGGAGGTCTTTTGCCCAGCTTTTGTTAACGAAGGAGAGAGAAGGATCTCCTCTCCCCGGAGCTAAAAAGCCAGCTGGGTTTGCGCGGGGGTTTTTCCTGTTCGTGGGAACGCGTTGACGCGAGTCTCGCCTTGCGCCAGCCAACGGCCTGGCCCGGGGAGACCCGGCCAGAGCTTGGCGACTCTTCCTAGGCATTCCCGGGCCTCGTAGGCTCCGTTTCCGGGCTGGTGGTCGGTTTTTCGTGGGGCCTTTTTCTCCACCGCCCCCCCCAAAGGGGGATTTATTGCAAAGTGCAAAGATGGTGGGCTTGACTTGCATGCGTAAGATTGGCCATGCTGGCAGGCAGTTGGCTTTAAGGGAGGGGGGTTGTTGGAGTGCTGTTCCCCCACCCTTTCTTCTGAGCCCCCCCCAAGAGGGAGGTGGGGGCAGCACCCAAACGTGCCAGGGTGTGCCTCGAGAAGGAGGGGGGCTGTTTCCGGTGGTGGGAGCCGGCATGTCTATTGTATTGGTGGAGCACATGGGGGGGAGGGAGGTGCCTTTTGGGGAGGGGACGCCGATCAATCATTCACGGAGGGGCTGCCCCACCCATGTGGGTGATGGGCGCTCTTTTGTCTCCTTGGAGCAGCTCTAGATCATTCGGTGGGGGAAGGAGGAGCAGGAAGCCTTGTCTGTGTGTTATTTCTTTGGGGGGGGGACACTGGCTGCCCTAGAGGGCTCCCCCCCCCAATAAAGAACATTTACTTCTTTGCTCAAGTACCAAAAAGTCCCCTCTCTCTTCTTTCAGCTCTTTGGCCTTTTTCTTTTAAGCTTCCTGGCGCAGAGTGGCATGGCGCTAGTCCTCATTGAGAACCTTCCATTGTGTTTTATCTTTATAATAAAAGACTTCAGTGGCCGGCTGCTCTGGAGAGGGGTGGGGTCCTGCTATGGCCAAGTGGGGAAGTAGTACAGGGCATGCAGCTCCTGGATGGAAATTCCCCATTTTTTAAAGCACTGCTGAATTATTTGCGGCTTACTCCGAAACAAACGGGGAGTTGAGATGCTGCTCCTTTTTTGCGGGTGGGGAAGCAGAATTTGCTCTTGGGCGTTAATGCCCGGGAGAGTCATCCTTCCCTCCGAGCCCAGCGGCAGAAATAGCGTCTTAATCTTCGGCCGGGGACAAAGGGCCCTGGTCATGCCAGCCTCCCCTTGCAGGAAGGCACGGCAGACGGTGCCCCCCTTCTCTTAAAAATCATTGGGAGGAATATTCTTGCTCCTTCCTCGCTTTTAAGCCGCATCTTGGCTTGCGAGACTAGCAGGACGAACAGGTTGGCGCGCCGCTGTTCTGATCTGGGTGCGGACGCGAGAGCCCTTGCGCTTTTTGAAAAATAACCTATAGGGTGTAACTTGCCCTAGTTTCAGGGCAAGACCGTTAAGGTCTTATCTTGCCTGAAAGGGGTGTTGAGATGAGCTGCCTGCGCCACTCCTGGGAGTGGCCCTCAGACATATGCTCCTCTCTGGAGGGGGGGGGAGGCGTGGCCTCCCTCCCCATCCAGCCCTCCGAAATCTGGCTGCACAGCTCGCCTTTCTCCCAACCATTGCCTTTTATGGTAATAATGCGAGACGGGGAGCAGAGGACTTCCTTTGTCCCAAATCTGCACAGAGGAGGCGGGGGCGGGGGCCCCCTGGCGGCGGCGGGCGGCAAGCGCCGCACGATGACAAAACAGGAAGCTGGGGAGGAAGTTGGGGTGGGCAGGTGCCTGCCTGCGCCATTAAATCCCCAGGAGAAGTGGGTGGGGTGGTTGCGCTTAGCGGCAGGTGGCGCCGAGTGCGAAACCAGTACCCTGCGGAAGAGACGGTCCTTGGATCCAGCTGCCTGATTGCCAACTCTTCCTTTTTGTTTCCTCCTTTTAAAGATCGCCATGGATGATGATATCGCTGCCCTCGTGGTTGACAACGGCTCCGGAATGTGCAAAGCCGGTTTTGCCGGGGACGACGCCCCTCGCGCAGTGTTCCCCTCCATCGTTGGTCGCCCCAGACACCAGGTATGTCGTTTGCCAGGGCCTCCTAGGCTCAAAAGTGATTTTAAACGCATTGCAGGTCTCTAACAAAGCATAGTTGGTAGGTCTCTAAATCGGATGCTGCTGCTGCCAACTTGTGCCTGACACTGATAGTTTTAAGTACCCTTTCACTACCAACACCACGTCCACTTCGATCCAAGTCATCTGCTAATTTCTCTCCCCTCCCCCCCCCCACAGCCTTGCAGCTTGGAGGTACAAGGAGGGGTTGAACCCAGGGGCCAAGTGTGTACAAAAGCAAACCCAGGGCCCTTCCTCACAATGATTTCTGCCCCCTTTTGAAGAAGCTTGGAATAAATTAGTAGCCTCGAAATAAATTTCAGCAGTGGACGGCTCTCTCTAGATAGGCAAGCACTTTTAGCTGGGAGTTTTTCTCCTCTGTGCCAGCAAGTGAAATTTAAAAGTCCCTTCCTCGCTTGGGGCTTTCCAAAGCCTTTATACAGAAAAGAGGCAACGATGAAGGGGCTGCCCCAGGTGTGGAAATGGCACCCCACCCTGGGCTCCTTCACAATCGAGTCTCCTTGAGGACTAGGAACTTGAAAGACAAGCCACGCCTGGCTGCTTTTGTGCCCGGTGCTGGGCTTCTGCTACAGGCTGGCTCTGGTGGCTGCTTGTGTTCTGATGCCCCTTGTCTCTCCTCCCAGGGTGTGATGGTTGGCATGGGCCAGAAGGACAGCTATGTTGGTGACGAGGCACAGAGTAAAAGAGGCATTCTGACCCTGAAGTACCCCATTGAACACGGCATTGTCACCAACTGGGATGACATGGAGAAGATCTGGCACCACACCTTCTACAATGAGCTGAGAGTCGCCCCAGAAGAGCATCCTGTGTTGCTGACAGAAGCTCCCCTGAACCCCAAAGCCAACAGAGAAAAGATGACACAGGTATGTGCCGGCAGAGCCCCGCTTCTGCACACCTTTCTTCCCCCTCCCCTGCCAAAGTGCAAGAAGGCTACCTGTCAACATTCCCATTTTCTTTTTGCTCATCTTTCTCCTCTTTTGCCCATCTCTGCAGGGGTTTCCTTTCCTGGTCTGAATTTCTCTTGCTGGATCTTGAAAGGTTTTTATCTCTCCTGAATTGGCTTTTCTTTTCTCCTCCCGACTTGCTCGCAACACTTAAAAGCCGCTGCTCTTTTCCACTAACCCTTTTGACTTTGTTTTTGAGTGACTTCTGTAACATTTCCTGTGTTGTGAAACCGGGGCGGCGCGGGCAAGAGTTTGCCACTATGCAAGCTGGTTGCATCAATTGTGTGTGGGCCCACGGCTGCCTAAGCATGGGCTGACCATCTGGGTGGTACAGGCTGTGACCTGTTGAGCATGACTTTTGGGTGCCCCTGGGGCTTCCAGGTTTTGACAGTCTCCCCTGTGCTCTTGCAGATCATGTTCGAGACTTTCAACACCCCAGCCATGTACGTAGCCATTCAGGCCGTGCTGTCCCTGTACGCCTCCGGCCGCACGACAGGCATCGTGATGGACTCTGGCGACGGCGTCACCCACACTGTGCCCATCTATGAAGGCTACGCCCTGCCCCACGCCATCCTCCGTCTGGACCTGGCGGGCCGCGACTTGACCGACTACCTCATGAAGATCTTGACCGAGAGAGGCTACAGCTTCACCACCACGGCCGAGAGGGAAATCGTGCGCGACATCAAAGAGAAGCTCTGCTACGTTGCGCTGGACTTCGAGCAGGAGATGGCGACCGCGGCGTCCAGTTCCTCCCTGGAGAAGAGCTATGAGCTTCCTGACGGCCAAGTGATCACCATCGGCAACGAGAGGTTCAGATGCCCAGAAGCCCTCTTCCAGCCCTCTTTCCTGGGTAATACTTTTTTTTGCAAAGCTGTTCCCTCAAATCATAGCCTTGGCAGAAATTGGGGGTTGTAGTCTGGCAGTATCTGGAGGCTGTGGGTAAAATCACGGTTTTGGTTGTGTGGTGGGGGAACTTTGTCCTGGGTCCGAGGCATTAAAAGTTTTTTTCACCTTCCGGCAGGTATGGAATCCTGCGGCATCCACGAAACCACCTTCAACTCCATCATGAAGTGCGACGTGGACATCCGTAAAGACCTGTATGCTAACACCGTCCTGTCTGGCGGCACCACCATGTACCCAGGCATCGCTGACAGAATGCAGAAGGAGATCACAGCCCTGGCACCCAGCACAATGAAAATCAAGGTGAGCTTTCTGTTTTCAGCTGACACTCTCTTCAGCCAGTGGAGCCACAGGAGACTTGGCGTTGCTTTTAAGCAGGTCCTTCTGTAGCTAACTCTGCCGCCTGGAGGACTCTGGTTTAAAAGTGTCCTTTGCAGCCGCTGAAAGGTTGCGTTTGGCCCATCTCCTTGTGAAGCTGTGTGCATAAATCACATCCTTGGGATTTGGGGCCTGCGAAAGAATCCTACCAACTCTGCAAAGAGCTGCCATGATCTCTGGCAGGGGTTGGGAAGAATGGCCAGTGGTTGGGAGTTTTAGTTCAGCGACTGCTTGTTTTATACCAGGGTATAGTCATTGTTAGATTCTGTGAATGGGCAACACCTGAGCACTCAGGTGAGCTTCTGTAGCCTTTTTCATGGCTGAAACCTTTTCACCCCCTGCCTGTGGAGTCTTAACAAGTTCTGCAACGCTTTCTCCCAACAGATCATTGCTCCACCAGAGCGCAAATACTCTGTCTGGATTGGCGGTTCCATCCTTGCCTCCCTGTCGACCTTCCAGCAGATGTGGATCAGCAAGCAGGAGTACGACGAATCTGGGCCCTCCATCGTCCACCGCAAATGCTTCTAAAACAGGACTTAGTTACCATAACAATTACCCCCCTTTTTTGACAAAAAACCCCATTACTGCGCGTTTAAAAAAAGTGAGAGTTGAGATTGGCATGGCTTTCTTTGTTTTGGCGCTTGACTCAGGATATAAAACTGGAACGATGAAAAGTTGACGGCAACAGTCTTTTAGAAAAATAATAATTGTGTTGGAGCGAACATCCCCCCCAAAGTTCTGCAATGCATCTGAGGACTTTGATTGTACATTTGTGTTCTTCCTCTTCCTTCCTTTTTTTTTAAATAGTCATTCCAAATATTGTACCATTGAGAGGAAGTTAAACCGGCCTCTGCGGAGGCAACAGCCCAGCTTTTGAAGGAGCAGGAGTACTTTCTGGTGTTGCAGGAAAGTATTGCTTGTACTTAGAAACCTTCCCCCTCCCAAATGTAATCCAACAAGTGTCTTTTCTGTATCTTGCGCCTTAAAACGAAAAAAACACTTGGTCCTCTTCCAATTTTTGTTTACTTTTGGCCATGCAAAAAAACCAATAATGAAATAGAAACGGGCTGTGTAGGTTTATCTTCTTCCCAATCTCTAGATGTGAAGGTTTACAGTGTACCCCCCTTCCCCCTCCCAGAGCTGGGGGAGCCCTTACCCAAATTTGGTGCCAGTATGTATACGGGGATACGGTGGGGGTGAAAACTGTACACTGACTTTAAAATAAACAGTTCCAATAAAGATGCACATGATAGACTTTTGCCTCTTCGTGTCAAGTCTCTGGTCCGCGCAGCCTGCGTTTGGTTGGGGCAAAGAGGGTCAGAGAAACAGAACGGCAGAGGTGAAAGGAGCCCCAAGAGAATGTGGAGAGGGTGGGGGGAGTTAATCCCCAGGGCCAGTTCCGATACCGGCAAGATCAATTGCCAATCTGGGAAGTGTTGCCAAACCAAGCTGCTAGTCTAGTTGAGTAATGCATGGTCCAAGTCAGCCACAGGCTTCCATACATGAACTTCCTTCCCTTGCCGAGGTAGAAAGCAGTCTGACTACAACTTGGAACAAGCATGAAACTAGTACAAGAATGGGAAACCTGGGGCCATCCCAATTCCTATCAGCCGTAGCCTGTAGGGTCTCTGGTTGGGGATGAGCGGCCTGGCACCATTTGGAAAGACCTGGCCTTGTGGCTCAAAAGCGCTCCTCAGGTGCAAGTTCTGTCTGCTTACAGGCCTGGGCTTTGAACCACTGCTGCAGAAACAACTCGTGAAGCCTAAGGGCTGAGCAGAGTTGGATGCAGCCTGCTTACCCTAAGCTTCCAGCAAAAGCCTCCTGACGTAGTTTCATGCAGGCAGGCAGACTATGGTGCTGAATACTAATAACGTGCAGGGGCAGGATTAACTGGACAATGTCTGTCCTTTTCCCTTTTGACTTCATTTTCTGTATGGGCTTGAGGGCAGGTATATAAAGTATAGGAACATGGTTCCAGTTCAGGGCGAGTTCTGCCTTTTGATCTACTAAGATCTGCAGTTCTAGCTATTTCTAGGTGCATTCAAGGGCAATTGGGCTGGCAATTCAAAGCAGCCAGAAGCCCTGGGAGCATGACCCAGGTGCTTTGCTCTGGTTTGTGCTGAAATGGTCCTCTTGGTACTGGAGGTTCTACTGAGCTGAGGGGCTGAGATAATGCACAACATGGTAGAAACCAAAGAAAAGTAGCAGCTTCAGTTTGGCACCTTGAGTATAGTATTGAGAAGCATTTCTAATTATAAAAAGCCATTCAGCTCTCAGATGGCAGCCTGCAACCCCTGATACTGTACTGAGTTAGAACTGGAGAAAAGTCTAGAACTGACCCAAGCTCTTAATATTACTCTATCCTTATGCAGAACCTTTTTAGTTGCAAACACAAGCAAATAGGTATTAATCCCCTAGCACAGAGATTTCTCTCCTGAGACTCCTGGATTCCATCTGCTTGCCCAAGTTGGCCTTGCAACAGGAAACGGGGGTCTGCAATCCTATCCAGTGTGGTCAAAAGGAGCAGTTGCTGGTTCCTTCAGATGTTGGTCGCATGTGTGACCACTTAAACTTAAAGGGACCCCTGATGACTTGGGTTGAGGCGCTCATCTCTCCTTATTGGCCAAGGGAGCTTCCGGGTCATGTAGCCAGCATGACGAAGCTGCTTCTGGCAAACCAGAGCAGCACACGGAAATGCCATTTACCTTCCTGCCGGAGCGGTACCTGTTTATCTACTTGCACTTTAACGTGCTTTCGAACTGCTAGGTTGGCAGGAGCAGGGACCGCGCAACGGGAGCTCACCTCGTCGAACCGCCGACCTTCTGATCGGCAAGCCCTAGGCTCTGCGGTTTGACCCCACAGCTCCACCTGTATTCCTTAGTCCTTCCCTTAAAGATAGGCCCTCCTTGAGTGATGTCAACTGCCAATGGTCATTTTGAGATGCAGCTGAGCAACCTTAGGGAAGCTTGGCAAACAGTGCCAGCCTGGCAATACGGGCCTCTCTGCAGTGCCTGGAATCCAGGGTGCACTGCTTCTAACAGGAGGTGAAGGAATGAGTTAATGGACAGCCATTGAGAGCAGATTCCTTTCTGGCTGTCTTGAAGGAGGCTTGCCCACCTTCCATGTACCTTTTGCCAGAATCCTGTCCCGCCTTCCTTAGACACTGGCTGGGCTGTTTTCAGTCCAGGTGTTTTGAATAGCAGGTGCCTGTTGCTATTTAAAAGGGATCCAGTGGATTCATGGAGGAGAGGAGGTCTGTTGATGGTTACTAGTGAGGATGGCGCTCTAGAGATCTCCAGGATCAGAAGCAAGGTCCCTGATAATGGGTTTTGCAGACAGGCTCCTGTGAGGGATGGGGTGCTGGAAGAGGAGATGGACCTTTGTTCTAGCAGGGCTGATCTTGCTCTCCTGAAAACTTCCAGTAACGTTTACCTGAATGAGTTGAACCAAGGAAATGGGGTGTCTGTCTTTCTCACTAGCAGTTCTGCAAAAACGATTTACAGTACAGATGGTTCTTTAAAGCGAGCAGAGTGTTTCTCCCTTAATAATGTAACGCTAGAACTGATGAGCACCCAAAGAAGATGAATATTAGAAGGTTCAGGGCAGAGAAAAGAAAGTCATTTTTTACCTAAAGGTAAAGGGACCCCTGCCCATTAGCTCCATTCGTGACCGACTCGGGTTGCGGCGCTCATCTTGCTTTATTGGCCAAGGGAGCCGGCGTACAGCTTCCGGGTCATGTGGCCAGCATGACTAAGCCGCTTCTGGCGAACCAGAGCAGCACACGGAAACGCCGTTTACCTTCCTGCCGGAGTGGTACCTATTGATCTACTTGCACTTTGACGTGCTTTCGAACAGCTAGGTTGGCAGGAGCAGGGACCGAGCAACAGGAGCTCACCCCGTCGCAGGGATTTGAACCGCCGAGCTTCTGATCGGCAAGTCCTAGGCTCTGTGGTTTAACCCACAGCACCACCTGCGTCCCTTCCATTTTTTACCTAGAGCAGAGTTTAAACTTTGGAACGCCCTCCCTCAGGAGACAGGGATGGCCACCAACTTAGAATCAGAGAATCGTAGCACTGGAAGCGACTCCCAGGGTCGTCTAGTTCAACCCTGCAATGCAGGAATTTCAACTAAAGCATCCATGAAAGATGACCGTCCAGCGTCTGCTTAAAAACCTCCCAAGAAGCAGAGGCCACTATTTCCCGGGGGAGTCTTCCTGATGTTTAGTCAGAATCTCCTTTCTTGTAACTTGAAGCCATGGGTTCGAGTCCTACCCTCCAGAGCAGGAGAAGCCAAGCTTGCTCTCTCTTCCATGTGGCTTCCATGGGAAGATGGCTATTGTAGCTCCCCCGAGTCTGCTTTTCTCCAAACTAAACACGCCAACTCAACCGTTCCTCCTAAGGCTTGGTTTCCAGACCCTTGATCAACCTGGATGGCTTTAATAGAGGTTTAGACAAAATCATGGAGGAGAGGGCTATGATGCCTGTGTCCTGTGTCCACCGTCAAAGGCCAATATGCCTCTGAATACAGACAGCTCAGTTGATTAGCGCATGGTGCCGCTAACTCCAAAGTTGCAGGTTCGATTCCTATATGGGAGAGCTGCCTATTCCTGCATTGCAGGGGTTTGGACTACATGATCCTGAGGGTCCCTTCAAACTCTAAGATCCTATGACCATATAAGCCTAGGGGAGGGATGCATTTGGCCGCCACACTACAGTTCCCATCCCTCTGCGAGAGGCATTAACCGCAGCCCTAGCCATGTCTGCTCAGAAGTCAACCCTGCTGAATTCTGAGCGGAGTTGGGATTTCAGCCTCTCCTGTCCTTAATAATCCATATTTGCTGCAAGGAATTTAAGAGCCCTGCTGGAACGGGTGAAACCAGAGTCCACAAGCACAATTGCACTCTTGCTGCTGCCCCACAGCAGCTGGCATTTGGAGGCCCACGGTCTCTCATCCGGAGGTAGCAAACAGAGCCATCGTGACTTGCAGCCTTCCCAAAGAGTCTGCCTAGTCCTCCTTTTAAAGCCATTTATGTGGTAACATTTGCCAGTCCCTGTCTCTCAGGTAGTCCGGCACAGGCTCTCTCTTTCCTTGGAAGTTTTTAAGCAGAGGACGGGTGACCCATCTGCCAGGGGATTCCTAGAATAGTAGAGGTGGAAGGGCTCTCGAGGGTCATCTAGTCCAGCCCCCTGCAATGCAGCAATCTCAGCTAAAATATCCAGGACAGATGGACCTCCAAGCGCTGCTTAAAAACTTTCCAGGAAGAAGAGGGAGTCCATTCCGCTGTCAATCAGCTGCAATTCTTGAGCTGCAATTCCCGCATTGCAGAGGGTTGTGCTAGATGACCCCGCGGGGTCCCTCCCAACTCTACAGTTAGGAAGCTGCTTTGTACCAAGACAGGCCTACCTCGCAGGGTTGTTGTGAGGACAAACAAGGGGAGAGCTATGGACGCCACCTCGGGAGGAAGGTGGGACAAGCATGCCCTCAGTCCCTATGCAAATAAAAGCAGGCATGTTTTGGATAGCAGCCTAAAAGCAAGAAATCTGAGTGCCGGCTCTTTTTTTTGGGCCGGCCAATGCCACTCCCAAGATGGCGTCCGGGACACGATGGTACACACACGGAAAGAGAGGGAGGCAGAGAGAGAGAAATAGACGGAGACATAACGAGGAACACAGAGGCAGAAACGCTATTCCCGCGCCAGCGCCGGACGGAGAAGCTGGAAAAGAGACGGCTCTGAGGCGGGGGGGGGGGGGGCGACCATCTCAAGATGGCGCCTCCGCTTTCTTCCGCCTCTCCCCAAATGGCGCCTCTGAGGCGGCCGGGGAGCGGAAGTGAGGTCAGGAGCGCGCCGGAAGCTGCTCCGTCCTCGTCTCCGCCGGCTGGGAGGCTGCGCGTGAGGAAGGGCCGGCGGCCGGGGCAGAGGCAGAGGCAGAGGCGCTTTCGGAGGCCGAGGCCCGCCGACCATGGCCTCCCCGGGAGAGGTAACCCCGCGGAACGAGGCGCGGCAGCATCAGCCAGGCCTTGGTGTCCATGGCAACCCCGGCTCCCCCGCCCCTCGCGTGTCCATGGCAACCGGGGGCGACAGCAGCTCATCCCGGGGGCGAACGTCTGAAGCGGCCCTGTCGCGTGTCGGGGGGGAAGCGGCCCTGTCAGTGCCGCCTGCTGCTTGGCAGGGAGGGAAGGGGAGGGTTCGGCTCCTCGGCGCTTCCCCAGTCGGAGAGGCTGCATTTATTTATGTATTTCATCTATTTCATAAAAATCCAGAAAACATCGCAGGTTCCCAAAGGGGAAGCTTCTATATGCGGGTGGTTGACCTTTCTTAGCACGTTTGCAGCTCTCCCTGGTGTCCGATTTGGTGCCAGGCAAGGCTGACCCCGCCCCGAGGTGCCTGCTCTTCACTGCTGGCTTTTCCCTGCCTTGCTGCCTCTCGGGTCTGATTTGTATCACCTATTAGCATTTCCATGAATTAAAGTGAGAGCAGGTAGGACAGAGGTTTCAGCCTCTTGAATCTCAAAGTGCAGGGCAGCAGCTGCTATAAGGTAAGGCTGCAGAGTTCATACCCCCCCAAGACAATTGCATGGGCCTTAACCTGGTGTCGAAAGTTGGGGGCAGCTGGGCCTGAGTAGGCGCCTCTGTTTCGCTCTGGCGGGCAGCTACTTTCCAGCACGAGTGGGTGATCTGTGGCCCTCCAGATGTTACTGGGACTCCCATCAGCCCCAGCTGCGCATGGGAGGGGTGGGAGAGTTGCAATTCAGCAACATCTTGGGGGGGTCCCCCACAAATGTTCCCCTACCCCTGTTCCAAGACTGAGGCTTCTGCAGCTCTGCTTCCTGAGGCAATTCTAATGGTCATTCAGAATGGGACCTCTTTTATGCAGAGCAGCTGCACTACCCTCTGGGCCGTGCCCCCCCCCCGGTCTCTCCCAGCATTGTAACTTGAGATCTTGGAACTAGAGGTGCAGCCTGCACACCCATCCATCACCCCCTGCTCTAATGCCAGCAGATTCCCCCCCCCCCATTGCGGTAGTTGACCAATTCCCACCTCTCCTTCCCCCACCACTTATATTTCATTCTACTTTCTCTTCATCCACAGCTGCGGTCTTGCCCCAACTTCCCCCCTCACCACTCTTCTTCACCCCTCTACTTCAATTTCTAGCCTTTCTCCCTCTTCCCCAGCCTCTGGTCTCCATCCATTTCCTTCCTATGGGGCCTTTTCTTCTATCCACAGTCACCCTCCACACAGCAGACCCTCACCACTTTTGGTTCATAGCCCACCATTCTCTCACAGGCCAGTTTTTAAGTGCCTTGAGTCAGGTGTGGTTTTGCACCCAGGAGGAACTGGAGGACACAATCCCCAAGGGCCCTAATTCAGGCCTGGTTCAAGCATGCCTGTGTGTCATTTGACATCTCGAGGCCTGCTGGCTCACAGTGGGCCTGTGATCTTCACTCCCTTGGGAATTGTTGTGTTCCATTCACATGTACAAGATGTTAACTTGACGACCTTTCATTCATATTTATCCACTCAACCGTAAGTCACCAAATATTGCAGCGGAGAAAACTTAAAAGATAACGTTCACACATTGTAGTCATCTGATGATAAACATGCATGTGTGAACAAGTTCCCAGCATTTCCAAGTTGCTTCCTGTATTGCTCTTTTCTCGATTTTGTTCTTTACTCTCCTTCTCTCTCCAAAATCCCCTCTTTTCTTTGTTAACTGGCTTGCAGGTTTCTTCACCGGAAAACCCGTCATTCCATATGCTCTCCTTCAGACACATTCTCTTCCCCAGCGGTCCCCAAAGGAATTTCATTTCTGTGTCCTGAGCTCTTTTGCTTTCTCTCTGTCTCTCTCTCTCCAGGAAGTGACGAGCGATGAGAGTGGAGAGGAGAGCAACGCTATGAACTTAATGGAGTTCTCGGATGAGATCCTTTTGCACATCCTGAGGTACACCCCAGTTTCAGACCTTGTCCTGAATGTCCGAAGAGTCTGCCGGAAACTTTCTGTTCTTAGCCTCGACAAAAGCCTTACCCACGCTGTGACCCTGCATAAGGACTATCAGGTGAGGGAAGAGCCTTGAGGAAATCACGGGATGTGGATGGAGCTGGGAGGGATACTTGTTCTCAGGCATACTGGGTTTCAGTTAAGGGATTCAGTCCCTAGTGTACATCAGGGTGGAGAAGGTGATTAGTATTTTAAGTGAAAAGGCACCATGGAGAAGGTGCTTCCTGGGTTTAGTGTAAGAAAAATGCTTTCACTTTTCTTTATTCTGGCCTCAAACAGGGGAGGGGATTTGCTATATGGCTCTCTCTAGCAGAGAGAGTGAGAGAACAGGCTCAGTCTGACACTTTTCAGGGCTGTCCTTAACTTCACCATCAGTCTCTCCCTTGACCTTTCTTTCCCTCTGGCTGTTTCTTCAGTCTGAAGGTTAGCCTAGCTCTCTGAACACACTGCAGGGTGATCTGGCCTTCCATGCTGAAAACACTGGAAGCTAACTCTAACCCTCAGCTGCTTTCATAGAGAGCTCTGTAAAGGAAGAGGTCTCTGGAGTGTCTCTCCCTTCACATCGAAAGTGGTGCTGCCTTTTACAGATCGCTAACGTGTGTTTTTGTTTCTGCCTGTTGCGCACAGGTGGACAAGGACAAGGTGAAGCAGCTCATGCGGGAGATTGGCAAGGAGATTCAGGAGCTGAACATGAGCGGCTGCTATTGGCTGCCCGGCTCCACCATCGACCAGGTGACCCGCTGCAGGAACCTGGTGAAGCTGAACCTGTCCGGCTGCAACCTCACCTCCCTCCGCCTCTCCAAGATGCTCTCTGCCCTGCAGCACCTGCGCTCCCTGGCCATCGACGTGAACCCGGGCTTTGACGCCTCCCACTTGAGCAGCGAGTGCAAAGCCACGCTGAGTCGCGTGCTGGAGCTCAAGCAGACCCTGTACACGCCCTCCTACGGGGTGGTTCCTTGCTGCACCAGCCTCGAGAAGCTGCTCCTGTACTTTGAGATCCTGGACCGGTCGCGGGAGGGCTTGATTATCTCTGGCCAGCTCATGGTTGGCGAGAGCAACGTGCCTCACTACCAGAACCTTCGGGTCTTCTACGCTAGGCTGGCGCCCGGGCCGGTCAACCAGGAGGTGGTGAGGCTGTACTTGGCGGTGCTGAGCGACCGCACACCCGAGAAACTCCACGCCTTCCTCATTTCTGCCCCCGGCGGCTTCCCCCAGAGCTGCGCTGTGAAAAACCTCTTGGACTCCATGGCCCGGAACGTGACGCTGGATGCCTTGCAGTTGCCCGGGTCTTGGATGAATGGCTCCAGCCTCCTGCAGCGCTTGAAGTTCAGCAACCCTGTCTACTTCAGCTTCAGCCGCTGCAGCTTGTCCGGCAGCCAGCTGGTCCAGAGGGTCCTCAACGGCGGCAAAGACCTCCGCAGCTTAGTCAGCCTGAACCTGAGCGGCTGCGTCCACTGCCTGTCTCCCGACTCCACGCTGCGGAAAGCGGAAGACGAAATTGACAGCAGCATCGCTGAGACCCTCGTCGCCTCCTGCTGCCACCTGAGGCACCTGAACTTGTCGTGCGCCCACCACCACAGCTCCGAAGACTTGGGCAGGCACCTGTGCCAGCTCCTTGCTCACCTGAAGTGCCTCCTCTCGCTGGCCTTGCCCGTCTGCTCCATCGCCGACGTGAGCCCTGTGCCCGCCGACAAGCCGTCCGTGCAGCCGGCGACCAACGCCACCTCCCCGAGTTTTGGGAAGAAAGTCCGGATCGGGGTGCAGACGTATCCGCGGAACTGCTTGGAGCAGGGGAATTCCAGACCCCAGCCCTCCGTGTTTTGGACCCTGCTGGAAAGCCTTCCGTTTCTGCAGCAGCTGGAGCTGATTGGGTCCAGTTTTTCCTCCGCCATGCCGCGGAATGAGCCGGCCATTCGGAACTCGCTGCCTCCCTGTGGGCGGGCCCAGCATGTGGGGGATGCCGAAGTGGCCGCCATTGGCCAGCTGGCCTTCCTGCAGAGCCTCACGCTGGCCCAGCTGCCCAATATCCTCACCGGCTCCGGGCTCGTTCACATTGGGGCCCAGTGCCAGCACCTGCGGACTCTTTCCCTGGCCAACCTGGGCATGATGGGCAAAGTGATGTACATGCCAGCCCTCGTGGACATGTTGAAGCACTGCAGGTGTTTGCGAGATCTCAGGTGAGGGCCTCGGGTGAAGCAGAGGTGGGCCAGCTCCTGAATTAGCCCAGCACTGTTGCTTTCCCATCCTGTTGCAGCAGGGAGAGATCTCCGGCACCTGGGGTTTCTTTTCTTCCTGGCAAATGAGGTTGTGGGCTGGGTCATTTTGGTTTTTAGCTAGCCGGAACTCCTAAAGAGGCAGAGGGCCTACGACTCAGGCAGCGTTAGAAACTCAGATACACAGTCCTGGGAAAAAGAAAGCCTTTGAATTCTGTGGTTTACATATCAGGCATCATAACAATCCTCTGTTCCTTAGCAGGTCTTAAAATTTGGTATTGTATGTATTTACCTACTTAATTTATACAGCAGAAGTACTCTAGGAAGCGAGCGTGGTGTAGGGGTGACGAGTGTTGGACTAGGACTTGGGAGATCAGGGTTCAAATCCCAACTCAGTCAGGAAGGTTACTGGGTGACTCCACAGTCACAGCCTTTTAGCCTACCTCACAGGGTCGTCATAAGGAGTAACTGATGAATGGGGTGAACTATGTGCTACTTGGAGATAAAGGTGGGCTTCAAAGGCAGTGAATAAGCCCTTCTGCTTACCTGCTTAAGAAAGCTGGAGATCTCCGTGTGGTTGCAATTGGACCTGTGCCAGTCACAAAACGTGCCTGGCACCTGGGGAATTTCTAGCACTGGACTCGGGTAGAAGCTGCACATTCTATCCCTGGTACATTGACTCTAAAGGCTCTTGGTCATTAGTCCTGGAGATTACCTTTGCCTGACGCCCTAGGAAACCACAGCCAGGCAGAGTCGTTGGTTTGGGCTAGATTGGTATGCGCTACATCAGGCATATCATATCCAACTCTATAGAGACCACGATCTACTCCCAGTGTAATAAAACTGGCAGTGATCTACCCATTGTCATTGCCCATAGTAGTTGAGCTTTTTTTGGGAAAGGGTTGCATTAATTCGCTCACCAGTCTGTAGCTCTCACTCAGACGCCGGCAGCAGTAATTGGACATAGTGCCAGGGCGGGGCGCGTAGCAATCGCTCATGAACAGGGTTCAGCAACCTTTTTCAGCCGTGGGCCGGTCCACCGTCCCTCAGACCATTTGGTGGGCTGGACTATATTTTGTAAAAAAATAATAATGAATGAATTCCTATGCCCCACAAATAACCCAGAGATACATTTTAAATAAAAGGACACATTCTACTCATGTAAAAATACGCTGATTCCCAGACCGTCTGCGGGTCGGATTGAGAAGGCGATTGGGCCGCCGAGTCTTAGTTTGCCTATCCCTGCTCATGAAGAACCGGGCGAGCTCTTTTTTAACTCCCGCGATCGACAAGGAGAACCTTGGCGATCTACCTGTTGATCGGTTGGACATTGCTGCGCTAGATCATGGGTGAAGGATGCAGTGGCCCTCCAGATGTTGTTGCCCAACTCAACATGGCTAGTTGTTGGAGATTGCGATGGGAGATGCAGCCTGCGAACATCTAGAGGAGTGAAGAGACCAACAGGCTCACTTGGTATAAGTAGAAAGCAGCTTTGTGTGTTTGCAATATCAAGGGCGAAGGCTAGAGAAGGAAGCAATGGACGTACACTATTCAATTTACAGTTAACATAAAAGGCTGTCCGCTCATTGATGAATTTGTAGTTGGTTGACCAACTGATTAAAATGCTGGTGAGTTTGCGTGTCACCAAAATTGCAAGGTGGGCACCTTCCGGAGACATGGAAAGCAGTTTAATGATCAAAACATCCCTGCATTGTTTGTACCAAAGGCCATTCCTTGTTTTATTCTTCCCCCCCTGTTTCCCCCCCCCAACCTAATGAAACACTAAAACTGAAATAGCCTCAAAGAAAACCGAATGAACATGCCTTTAACTCCCAGGCCCACTGATAATAGTTGGCCTTCGCTGATTAATACACCACAGAGCCAATGGACTCGGTGTTCTAAACAGAAAAATACATATATTTTGATACAAAAGAGGATAGTTTCAAAGCAGCTCCCTGGGGGTGGTGTCTGTGATTCACCCTGATTCTCAACCCATTTCTAACTCTGAACATTTAAACAGTGATATTGTCAGGGCTTGAAAACAAAAAAGCATATTATGATGATAATAATATGGCAACAGTGTCACCTGGTGGACGGGATGCTGTACAGCAAAAATATATTCTGACCATTTACTGTTGTGAGTAACTTAATGTCATAGAATGGTAGAGTTGGAAGGGACCCTGAGAATCTTCTAGTCTAACCCCCTGAGGTGCAGGAATATGCAGCTGTCCCATATAGCGATTGAATCTGTCACCTTGCTGTTATCAGCACTATGTTCTAACCAGCTGAGCTTTGCTTGCTCACATGTTGCTTTGATCATGGAGCAACAGCGAAAACTGTTTATTCGCCCCTCCCCTACATTTCCATGGTACTTATCACACAAGGAGTCCTTCCTTTGCTTCCCTTTTATTTATTTGATTTATTTCATAAAACTTGTTTGCCGCTTGTTTGTAGAAAACCTCAAAGCGGGTTTCCTTTCTTTGGATCTCAGTGGAGAAAACGGAAGATCAGCGTTTGACACCTGAGACACGATGCTGAGTATCAAATAAGTGAATTCTTATCCCTGTGGCAGAGAGATGTCCTGAGAGGAGGGTGGAGGAAGACACACACACACACACACACACACACACACACCCTGCCAGCAGATCATTTTCAGTAGTGTTTTCCTCCTTTGGATTCCTGGAGCTGATCCCACTCACTCCAGGCAACTGGGAAAACAGCAGTTTACAAGCTATGGCCATGATGAGACCATCTCAGGTTGCCCTGTAAATAGATAAAAGCTCAGAAGTCAGGGCGTTGCCACAGGTTTCACAAAAGGAGTCACAAAAGGGAGAGGAGTGAGGCAGGAGCAGATGCAGCCCAGTTTACAAAACGCCCAACCTCTTAACTGGAGCTTTTCGTTGGGGAATTGTCTTTCTCCTTTAAAACCCACTGATGAGTTAACTCTCCAGCTAGTTCCTTCATAGAGGTTACATCAGAGGTTTCAACTAAAATCAAATGGATTTTGCCTTCCCAAAAGCTCTGTGCTGAGCTCCACTCTGCTAAAAGCAGGGGTGTTCTTTCCTCGTCCCCTCTGGCTTTGCAAACACTTCCCCTCCTGGTAGAGTAATAATAATAATAATGATAGTAATAATAATAATAATAATAATAATAATATTAAATACCATATTTTTTGCTCTGTAAGACTCACTTTTTCCCTCCTAAAAAGTAAGGGGAAATGTGTGTGTGTCTTATGGAGCAAATGCAGGCTGCGCAGCTATCCCAGAAGCCAGAACAGCAAGAGGGATTGCTGCTTTCACTGCGCAGCGATCCCTCTTGCTGTTCTGGCTTCTGAGATTCAGAATATTTTTTTCTTGTTTTCCTCCTCCAAAAACTAGGTGTGTCTTGTGGTCTGGTGCATCTTATAGAGCGAAAAATACGGTAATTTACTATTTATACCTCGTCCATCTGGCTGGGTTTCCCCAGCCACCCTGGGTGGCTCCCAACAGAATTTTAAAAGCACAACAAAATGTCAACAACAACAACAACAACAATAATAATAATAATAATTTATTATTTATACCCTGCCCGTCTGGCTGGGCCTCCCCAGCCACTCTGGGCGGCTTCCAACAAAATATTAAAATACAGTAATGCATCAAACATTAAAAACTTCCCCTAAATAGGGCTGCCTTCAGATGTAGAGCCCCCCCCCCCCCTGCAAGTGTAGTCTCTCTGAGGCGTGTCGTTTGGTTGACCCTTGTTCTGCCTTCGCAGGCTCGAGCAGCCCTACTTCAACGCCAACGCCCAGTTCTTCCAGGCCCTGAGCCACTGCTCGTCCCTCCAGCGCCTCTGCATCATCTCCCGGAGCGGATCTCTGCAGCCGGACGCCGTGATGGCCTTCATGACCGCTTGCCTCGAGGTCATCATGTGCCACATGTTTACCGGGGAGTCTCTCACAGTTTGCAAAACCTTGCAGCAGTCCTTGATAAAGAGGTGAGTTCAGGCAGGTGATACGTTCAGACCATACCGTTACTCTGGGCAGTCCTATATTTTTGAGGCTAAAACAGGGACCTCCAGGCTCTCCCTCCTTGGCTCAGGATGCAAAGTAAAGACATGTGAGGCTGGAAGTGCACTGAGTGACGGCATAAGTGCATCCTCATTGCCTTTGCCTGAGCTGCTCTCAAAAGGGGCCAAGAGTTACGTGCTGCGACACATCTGCCATCAAGGGCTCCCCTGTCTTCCAAGCTTGGCAGGGCAACTGAGAACCTCCCGCAAGTTTGCAGGAGGGTGAGCACAACAGTTTTTTTTAAAAAAAACTTTATTCCAAAACTGAAAAAGAATTACAAGCATCAAATTCAAAATCCATATTCGTTTTGTAACGTAAGCTTATTACATAGTTGACTAGATTAAAATATACCTAATTGCTATAGACTTCCCTTTGCTATATGTAAATGCAATGCAATTAGAAATACTACAGTGGTACCTCGGGTTACATACGCTTCAGGTTACATACGCTTCAGGTTACAGACTCCGCTGACCCAGAAATAGTACCTCGGGTTAAGAACTTTGCTTCAGGATGAGAACAGAAATCGTGCTCCGGCAGCGTGGCGGCAGCAGAAGGCCCCATTAGCTAAAGTGGTGCTTCAGGTTAAGAACAGTTTCAGGTTAAGAATGGACATCCGGAACGAATTAAGTACGTAACCAGAGGTACCACTGTATATTAGAAATTTTTATAAATTCCCCTATACCCCCCACTCCCCTTCACCCATGTGTGATCTCAATATTTTTTTAACTTCTTCCATCTTGTTGTGTTGTTGTAGTTTAATAATTATTCAGTTGATTCTTTTATTATTTCCTTGCTTACCCCTGCACGTTTTATACATTATCTATTAATATTCCAGTTCCGGAACCATATTTTTTCATGTATTCCCTCACTCCATCCCACTCTTTAATTATTCTCTGATTTGAATGGCCTCTAGTGATTGCTGTCAGTTTTGCCATTTCCACAAACTCACCGGCCTTGCTTTGCCATTCTAATAATGATGGTATTTTCTCCCCCTTCCAATTCTTTGCGATCAGTATTTTCTGGCCACTGCTGTTGCATAAAAGAATAAATTTTTCTTATCTCTGGGGATGTCATTAGATATTAGGCCTAACAGAAAAGCCTCTGGCTTTTTGATAAACGAAATCTTAAATAGTTTTTTCAGCAGGTGAGCAGAACCGTGTTGTGAACCTGCTTCCACCCTTGGGCTGCTGGTTGACCATCTCTTGCAGCCTCTCCCAAGCCGCCTCCCCCCAGATCGGCCTCATCCTGACCAAGGCTCCTGGGAGTTGTGGAATGGGCTCTGATTTGGGGCAGGCCGATGTCTCGGATAAGTGGTTAGGGTTAGGGTTAACTCAAGCATTTTTCTGTGTTATTTTCCAGTATAGCTATGCATGCGCCTCATTATAGCTGGAAATGTCTGGATTTTGCTTGGTTTTTCTTTGAAGCGACAACTTTCCAGCCCTGATGACAAAGAGGGAAATTTGAAAATGTGCCAGGGTGTATAGCATCAGCTTAAGGCTCGGGTACCAGCACAGGAGATAATTACAGTCCTGGGCTTCCTACGTCAGGGAGAGTTGACATCTTGTAGCTCTGCCCAATTTCCTGATCTATATTCCTGATCTTTCAATAGCTGAGTTCTGAATGCATTTACATGTGTGTTAGTCAACCTTGTGTGCTTTTTTGCTCGCTTCCCCCACCCCCTTTAAAGTTTTATAAGGGAACCACCATATTGCCCCAGTACATATCGCAACACTTTGGATATAATCCCTCCTCATCCCAGTGGCAGAATAGAAACTGCGTTGGCTATGAGAAGAAGGTGAAGTTTGCAGCCTTGACAGAGGAAATAGGGCTATGGCTTGATTTAAAAGATATCTTAGTTGAGTGAGTTTCATCATTTAATTGATTGATTAAAAGCATTCACAAAGTTTTGCAGATAAAATCCACAGTATTTTTATAGGGGAAAATAGGCCATGAATGCCACACGGTCGAATTCTGTGGGACCTGCTTCTCAGTAGGCACGCAGAAGATTGTGCTGTTGCCATTTAGATCAGAACTGGCTTGGATGATACAGTCATGTTGTACGGGGGAGGCATTCCCCATTCTCTTCCAAGATTGCGCTCACCTTCTGTTTTTGCAAGTGCTCGGTTTTACTTAAAAACTTTCCCAGGTAACTGAAGGTGGCATTTTAATCTATTCACAGATTCACTGTTGAAAAGTTGCCGCCCTAGCAAGCTGTCATTGAAAGGCTGCAATTGTTGGGGTCGCAATAACTCTTGTAGCATAGCTAGTAGACTGACCACCCCATACCCAACCGCTTTGAAGTACTGTAAGCCCTACTGAGTTCAGTACGACTTACTCCCAGGTAAGTGTGTCGAAGACGGCAGCCAGAGCTGGGGACCAAGAAGGCTTTTCCTCTGCCGTGAATTCTGTTGGTGGCTAGAGGGTGAGAGGCTCAGCTCCACAGTGGCGGCAATATTGGGGTGGTGAGATCATTCATGTAGTTGGTAGTCTTTTGGCCTTCCCAAACCCACAAGCGTCTTGTAACACGAAAAGCAGACGATGCAATAGCTGCTCAGCAAGTGTCTCCCGTGGCTGGTCTTGGCCAGTTTTTCAGCCTTACCTTGCCAAATTAACATGCAGAGTTTTTGTAGGTCGAGGCGCGGCTCCAGATATTGACATACTCCTGCTCCCCCCAGCATCACCAGTCATCCCCGGTGATGCTCCAACAACACCTGGAATCGCCTAACTGCATATGTAGCCTTGGTAACACCTGGAGGGCCACAGATTCCCCACCCCTGCCGTTGAAGAATAGCTTCAGCCTTAAATTCACAGTGCTTTGAACCGTCAGGAAAAGTGCTGCACAACTTTGGAACTTTTCTATTACACCCAGAAAGAACTGTGGGGTGTCTTAAATCAGCTTCAGAGGAGACTTTTCTCTGTAGAGCTGCTGCCTTCACAACCATGCTGCTTTTGGCAGTGCGGCTTTTGGGAAGCCAGCCAAGACGTGGGCTGTTAAACTCCCTGAGGTGTCAGGGGTTTCTTTTCAACAGAACCCTCTCCTGTGTCTTAATTGAATTCATCTATGGGGATTTTTTTCTCTCTCCCTGCAAGAACCAGAAATTCTTTCTCCAGTCTTATCGTTCTTTGCCTGTCCTGTAGCTCATAGCAGAGCTGATCTAAACTTTAATATCCTTTTTCCTGTCCTGGTTCATACTGCCCAGCAACCAGATTGCAGCTGTTTTCTTCCATTTCATACAGACTTCTTTTCTTTAAAAAAATATATTTACAGCACCAATACAAACAACACAACAATTTCCCTGTCCGCCTGACTTTATTCCCCTTCACTTTTTGCCATTCTGTTCTCAAAGAGGGAGAGAGGGCCCTGCTAGATCAAACCGATCCACTTGCCCTGTATTCTGTCTCCCAAATGCAGCCACCCAGATCTCTCTGAGCTTTCAAAACTTTCAATGTTGGTGACACACTTTTTAGACATGCATCATTTCGCGACACCGTAATTCAGTTTTACTAGCAAACCGAAGGTTAAATGAACGCCTTTCCAGCCTGGGGAGCACGGGGAGAATTTGTGCGACACACCTACACACTGCAGCCGACACACTAACGTGTCGTGACACACAGTTTGGAAAGCCCTCCTCTAGGGAGCTCACGGACAGGGTGTGATGGTGATGCTAGCTGCCCTTGTGTGTGTTTGTTCTTCTGAGGCTTTGCTGACATCCTCCTTCTCCTCATCAGTACTAATTACAACACCAATTCTCCCTTGCTTGTGTTTCCAAAATGGCACCACCTATTCACAAGAGGCAGGTATCCTCAGCCTTCAGGGAACCCTGAGGTTTGCCGAAGTGTCAGAAATATTCCGGGGGCAAAGCCCTAAAGAGAGGGAAACGGCTCACTCGCCCCCTTCCAAAGGTTCCTTCTGTACTCTGATCAGCACCTGAGGCCTTGCATGAGACACAACTGGCAGCTCCCAGGGGCGGGGCCTTTTCTGCGGTGGCCTCCCCCTTGGGCAATGCCCTTTCTCGTGAGATCTGCCAGGCCTCGGCACTGTGCTGTTAGGCAGCTGGATAGAACAAGGAAGGTGTTTGGCTGAGTCTTTGTTATGTCAGTGCTGCTCTAGGTAGTTGTTTTAGGAATTAATTTCATCTGTTGTTTTTTGTGTGGGTCAGTTTTCTGTAGTGCATGATGTGGGAATCAGGATACTGGACGAGGAAGGCCTTATGGTCTGAGCAGGTAGGACTTCTGCAGTGGTCCTGCCTCGCGCTGACATGGTGCCCTGACTGAGTCCTCGAAAGAGAGACCCCACAGGTCCTCAAGGACCTTGAGATGCAGGTGGTTGTCTACCGGAACCTGTGCTGAGGGTTCTCTTTGAGGGTCCTCTGGCATGAGACCTTCTGAAGATCCTTGGAGCTGTCAGAGGAAAAGGTGGAGCCTCAATAACCCTCTGCTTTCCAGCATTCGAGCCTCTTGCCGCCGCCACTATGTTGATGCCTAAAAAACCCCGCATTGCCATCTACGAGCTCCTTTTTAAGGAGGTGATGGTAGCTAAGAAATATGTTCATATGCCTAAACACCCAGAACTGGCAGACAAAAATGTGCCCAACCTCCACATCATGAAAGCAATGCAGTCGCTGAAATCTCGTGGTTACGTGAAGGAGCAGTTTGCATGGAGGCGTTTCTACTGGTATTTGACCAATGAGGGCATCCAGTACTTGAGGGACTATCTGCTGCCTGAAATTGTGCCTGCCACCCTGCGTCACAGTCGTCCTGAAACTGGACGACCCTGGCCAAAAGGTTTGGAGGGCGAGCGTCACACGGGGAGAGGCTGACAGGGACACCTACAGACGCAGTGCTGCTCCTCCTGGTGCTGACAAGAAGGCAGAGGCTAGAGCTGGGTCAGCTACTGAATTTCAGTTTAGAGGTGGCTTTGGGCGTGGATGTGGTCAACCACCTCAGTAGAAATCTGATGCTGTTTGGTTGCAATAACCCTGCGGGCTCCAAGAGGGCCCAGGTCAAAGAGCAAAGGCATGGCACATGTCCAGAGGCCCAGAGTCCTTGCACTGCTTGTGCGTAAGGGATCTACTCCCGAGTGAGCCATCCCTGGAATTCCTTTCCTACCAGCAGCTGGGCTTAGGGTGTGGCATAGAGGTCTCTTGAGCCTTTTAGTTGCTGGAAACAGCACCGGCCTCTGGCTCCTTCTCCTTGCTGAACTCCCTGTGATACAGACCTTGCTTCTGCATCCCGTTGTTGTGAGCAGTGTTAGAAACTCAGATATATAAGCTAGGTGCCAAACCCTCCTTCAGCCAGGGTTACAGTGGCCAAAATGGAATGCCTAGCTGCAATTTTGGGGCCAGACGGCTTGAAAGTAGCATTTTTCAGTGCAATTTCTGCTTCCTGAATTTCAGATTGTGCAGATACAATAGAGCGGATAGAATTCTACAGGATGTGTTGCTAGAGTGTGAAAGCAGGCAAGACCCACAGATCCCCAGCCATGCACCTCCAGATAGGGGAGACACAAGGGGCCTTCTGGGAGCCCGGGCATCTTCACTTGGCCGCAAGTGGCCGATAACCAGGTGCAGAACGGTTCACTGAGGCTCTGCTGCACCCTGGGTCCCACTCTCCCGGATAAACGCTTTTACCTCCTTGGACAGAGGCCCTGGCTCTGCAGGGAACCTCCTGGAACGCAGCCTCACAGACCCAGCCACGAAGCGAGCCTGAGAGCGCAGCGCGGCCCTGCGCACCTTCCTCCTAGATGCTTGAGGGGCTCTCCATTAATTTCCCCCTAGATGGAGCTGTGGCTTCGTGCTAAAAGCTCCGGAACGCCTCTCCACCCCCCACCCCAACCCGCTAATTCTGCAGGGTAAGTATTTTTCTCCACCACCAGCATCAGCAGCCCCTGTCGTCGTCGCTCGTTCTCCACTGCAGAAGTCACGCCAAGCAAAGAATCCCAATGACTTGCGATAACGGCACTTGCTGCACGGTGCGTTGAGCACAAGTGTTTGCAGAGGCGGCCCTCTCCCCGCCCCTCCTGCCGAACCTGCTGGGAGCTGGAGGGCGGCGTTAAAAGAAACGTTTGTGTTGCAGCAAGTGTCCTTTTGGACCCCCCGCCCCCAGGTACCTGTTTTATTCAGCACAAGCTCTGCAGAGGCTTGTCTTTTCAAGGACAGGGTGTATGTGGGAGAAAGAGAGCGTGCAAGCTAGTTACACCCATGAACAATTACCAACCGCAGCAGGCATGCCTTTAAGAAGCAGCTGACGCAGGAGAAGCCGGGGGGGGAGGCTCTGACATGCCGAACGCCGGCCGTGTGAGTGTCGACTCGTGGCAAGTCATACGTGTGCATTCTGCAGAGAAGGGAAGGCAGGAGCTCTGAGCGCTGAGAGGGCGAGAGGGATCAGCAGTCCAAATGGTGTGCCCGGTTCGATTTAACAACCTGATCTCATTATTGAGACTTGCGCTTCATTCAGCATCAGCAGAAAGGGGGGCAGCCAGCACGGAAAACGAGGTTTTCTGTTGTAAATGGCAGAAGACCTGGGGGTGGGGTGGGGGGCTGGCTGGCTGGGACTGGATGTGGAGAAGCAGGGAGATCTAGAAAGGGGGTGTGTGCTGTGGGGCTTGGAAAAAGGAAGGGAATTGGGAAGAGTGGGATGTCAGAAGGATGTCATCAGAGCCCTTGTTGGAGCAGAGGAAAATATTTGTTTTTATTTCTTTTTGTTGTTATTTGTCTGGAAAAGATTTATAGGCTGCCTTTAAGAGCATGCTCTCTCAAGACGGTTTCCATCATGAAATATTAAAAGCGCAATATGACACAATCTGAATTATCATGCACAAGTGAAACCTTCAATAGCAAAACACATTCCTGCTTCTCCCACCTGAAAAAGCCCCACCTAAAATAAAGTCGCTATCCATGACCCCAGACCCTCGGCAGAGAGGGGAGGCAACCTGTAGGTAGGGCAGGATGAGTGCCAATCCTGGAGAATTTGCCTGAAATCCTGGAGAACGCTGCCAGACAGTGTAGAGAAGACTGACGTAAATGGTGACTCTGTACCAGGCAGCTGCCCGTTCCTAAGGGAGGGAGGGAATGCATTTATCTCCATGCATTATTCTCCTGCACCTCTGTCGGATCCCTCTGTCACCTCTCTCCAAGCCCCTAAACATCTTGGCTTTCCCTCGCAGGAGAGATTATGAGAGAGGAAGAAAAACTTTCTCCATGCCTTGAATTTCCTTCGCATTCCTAACACATGGTGCAAAAGGTTTCCTTCAGTCCTGTTTTCAGGAATATTTATCCTCAGTTGGTGGGTTGAGGCCAGTCTTTCACATACTTAAAGGTGGAGTCACACAAGCACACTCACAAAAACCTCCGCCTTTTACCCCTTTATGACTTTTATTTTAAGAGAAGGCAGAAGCTGAGACAGACAGAAGGAATTAAATGTGGGCGTTAGAAACCTGGAGTATCCCTAAGTACCCCAAAAGCAGCAGTCGCCACCTTCATTTTTCAAACTTCTCCCTGAAACCAAGAGAGTGAAGAACTTGGCCGTTTTCAAAATGAAATCTTTGGCAGGGAACTGCTGGATGTGCCATTTTAACCTCGTTGGAAATCAGATTCCACAACTTGCCCTGGGATTTAAACCAGAGAGTAAACGAGTGTTCCTTGGCATGACGGAAGCAAGAGAATCTGAGCCCAACCCCAGAGGATTGCAGCCCAGCCCAGCCCCGTGGTTCAAATAAACAAGGGCTGAAATCTCGCCAAGCCAGATCCAGTGTGCTTGTTCCAGGAACATATAACACTCACAGGGCATCCCCTCCAGGCTTTTGTGGCCTGCACATCATTTCCCTATTGCTGCCTGCCATCATTCCTTGCATTTGCTGGCCTGGCAACACATAGCTGGTGTGTGTAAGAGAGAGAGAGAGAGACTTTGGGCTGTCTTGGGGCCTGTTTTGTACAGATTTGAGGAAATGTCAGCCAGAATAAACAGATCACTAAAGGAAGTTGGTCTTGGTACGCTCCCAGGAGGTTGAAGGGCTCCTTGCTTTGCTCTGTTGTGATTGGTCCCTTGTCCTGTGGAACTCACTGCCACAGGAGGCTGTGACAGCCACCAACTTGGGTGGCCTTAAAGAGAATTAGACAATGGAGGAGAGACCTATTGATGGCTGTTAGCCAGGATGGCTGTGTTCTGTCTCCATATTTGGTGGAAGTGATGCTTCTGAAGATCGGTTGCTGGAAACTGCAGAGGGGAGAGCGATGCCCTGGTGCTCAAAGGTTGCTTGCAGGTTCCCCACAGGCATCTGGTCCGCTCCTGTGAGGACGGGATGCTAATCCATCTCTTTGTGGCTTACACCAGGTCAGCCTGTTTCTCTGCCTTGCCCACTCTGACCGGCAGAGGCTTTCCTGGGCTTCAGGCAGAGCAGAACCTTTCTCATCGCCTTCCAAACTGGAGATGCCGGACACCAGACCTGGAAACTCCTGGCTGCAGAACCAGGCGCTCTGCCCTGGAGCCAAGTTCTCCTTGCCTGTGCTTGGCTCGCCTCCTGCTCCCCTGGGGTTGGCCTGAGCCTTCCTCTCTGAGCAATTATTCTGCCTTGCCCTTTGGTTGGATGCCTTGGGCAAGCCGCAGGGCCCTTCAGACTGCACGGTCATGTGGCTTTCCTTGCTCAAGGACGGCCGAGGGAGCTGCTGGGTAAGAGCAGAGTGGAATTGCCTTCGGGTCTTTTTGCTTTCCCCTGACATGGCTGCCTTCATGTGCCCAGTGCCATCTTTGGGGCTTCCCTGGTCTGAGTCCCAGCATGCTTGGCAAGCTCATTCTTCAGTTCCCCTGCATGCACACTAGAGAGAGAGGGAGAGAGAGAGAGAGAGATATTATTTTTGCCATGGCATCCAAGAACCCAAGGTGGAAAGCTGTCTGCTCTTGCCTCAGCACAAGAACCAAGATCTTCCGGTTTCCAGGCCCATCCCTGTCACTGATGGGCTCTAGGATGGTCAAACTCCTGCTGCTTCCCGGTCTCTGACAGAGTTGAGATACGGAAACCTGCCAAAGGAGAGCCAAGAGCCTAGACCAGCGGTAGGCAACCTAAGGCCCGGGGGCCGGATGTGGCCCAATCGCCTTCTCAAACCGGCCCTCGGATGGTCCGGGAATCAGTTTGTTTTTACATGAGTCGAATGTGTGCTTTTATTTAAAATGCACCTCTGGGTTATTTGTGGGGCATAGGAATCCGTTCATATTTTTTTTTTTCCAAAATATAGTCTGGGCCACCACATGGTCTGAGGGACAGTGGACCGGCCCATGACTGAAAAAGGTTGCTGACCTCTGGCCTAGACGGTCAAACCAAGAATTGGAGGTGCTCAGAGAGCGTAAGAAGGGCCCACTGGATCAGGCCAATGGCCCATCTTTAGTCGAGCAGCCTGTTCTCCCAGTGGCCAGCCAGGTGCCCATGGGAAACCTGCAAGCAGGATCCAAGCACAAGAGCCGCTCTCCCCTCCTGTGGTTTCCAGCCACTGGCATTCAGCAGCATTGCTGCCTTCAGTTGTGGAGACAGGACATAGTCATCATGGCCAGTAGCCATCCATAGCCCCCTTCTCCTCCATGATTTGTCCAAACCTCTTTTAAAGCCATCTAAGTTGGTGACCTGTTGTTATTGTCCATGGAGTTTTTGAGTTGGCATCTCAAAAAGCAGAGACGTTACCTTGTCGACAAAGGTCCGTATAGTTAAAGCTCTGGTTTTCCCAGTAATGATGTATGGAAGTGAGAGCTGGACCATAAAGAAGGCTGATCGCCGAAGAATTGATGCTTTTGAATTCTGGTGCTGGAGGAGACTCTTGAGAGTCCCATAGACTGCAAGAAGATCAGACCTCTCCATTCTGAAGGAAATCAGCCCTGAGTGCTCACTGGAAGGACAGATCCTGAAGCTGAGGCTCCAAGACTTTGGCCACCTCATGAGAAGAGAAGACTCCCTGGAAAAGACCCTGATGCTGGGAAAGATGGAGGGCACAAGGAGAAGGGGATGACAGAGGACCAGATGGTGGGACAGTGTTCTCGAAGCTACCAACATGAGTTTGACCAAACTGCGGGAGGCAGTGGAAGACAGGAGTGCCTGGCATGCTCAGGTTCATGGGGTCACGAAGAGTCGGACACGACTAAACGACTAAACAACAAGAAGTTGGTGACCATCACTGTCTCCTGTGCGAGGAAGTTCCATAGTTTACATGCTGCATGAAGAGCCTGGAGGTGAAGCTCAAGCTAGAGGAAGGTCTATTTTTCCACCGGCCAAGTCCTGACGTGGCCTTGGAAGGCTACTTTATACTGAGCCAGACCACTGGTCCACCTCACTCATTGTCCGCACCAGCCGTCTAGATGTTTTGGACTACAACTCCCATCAGCCCCAGCCAGAAGGTTGACCCTGATTGGCAGGGACGCCTCCAGGGTGGGATCTTTCTCAGCCCTGCTGGGAAACACCAGCGGTTGGACCTGGGATCTCATGCATACAAAGCGGGGTGTTCTATCACGGAGTAACGGTCCCTCTCCAAAGGAAGGGGAAACTCTTTGCAGCCCAGGGAGATGCACTGCCCAGTAGCTGAGCGCAGCATCAAGTTTGCTGACTCCAGCCATGGCAGTCTCTTTTGAGAGAGCTCTAGAAGCAGGACGGACTTTAGGTCCGGACTCTGTCCCAAAGAGTAGATGGAAAGTGCCTCTGGGGCAGGTGCAGAGTGCAGTTCCTCCATTGCTGCGTCAATCATGAGAACCGCCCATGTAGCAGGGATGATGAGGCGTAGTTTTCAAATCTGGTGAAGGATATTTCCTAGGACCCTCGTACCTACGGGACCGCCTCTCCCGGTATGCCCTGTGGAGGACCTTAAGGTCCATAAACAGCAACACCCTTGAGTTCCCGGGCCCTAAGGAAGTCGGATTAGCCTCAACCAGGGCCAGGGCCTTTTCAACTCTGGCTCCAGCCTGGTGGAACGCTGTGTCTCATGAGACCAGGGCCCTGCAGGATCTGATTTCTTTCCGCAGGGTCTGTAAGACAGAGTTGTTCTGCCTGGCCTTTGGCTTGGAATCAACTTGATTCCCTCCCCCTCTTTTTTCCTTCCTCCTTCTGTGATGGAACTCCTATTTGGGGACTTCCCTGGCTTTTTTCTGTCCCATGTAGGACCAGTGTGGAAAGTTAGCCTTGGTGAAGACTTGACATTTTCATCCCCCCGAAAGCTTTTGATTTGAGTTTCCATTGAAATGAGGCTGCATTTTAATGTTTTACTGTTGTATTTTAATCTTATTTTAAAGTTGTATTTCATTCAATTTGTTTTATATCAGGTGTTAGCCGCCCGGAGCCCAGTCTTGGCTGGGGAGGGCGTGGTATGAATAAAATTTATTATTATTATTATTATTATTGAAATTATTATTATTGAAATACCAGTTTCTGGAAGCCACAGGGAGGGAAAGGGCTCTTGCGCACAGATCCTGCTTGGGGCACCTGGTTGGTCACAGTGAGAACAGGATGCTGGATTAGATGGGCCTGATCCAGAAGGCTCTGCTTATGTGCTTACGTTTTCTAGACGTGCCGGCTCTGCCCGTTAGCCTTTGCAATGTGGGCGCACTCTGGCCTGCAGAGTGAGGGGGGGACTCCCTCCTGCCTCCCCAGGTTCTCTCCTAGCTCCATCTCCTTCGCTTGCGCTCGGCCGCCCTCCCCTCCTGCTCCAGGGATCGTACCCTTAAAATATTTATCTTCTCTCTTCTGTCCCCCACTCCCTTTAATTGTCGTTTAGTCAAGCTGTAAATATTTAATTCTCATCTCTCCCCTCCCCACCCCGAGGCGGCCCTGCAGCTCATTAACTATCGCCATCCTCTCCTCCTCCTCTTCTCTGAAATGCCCCTTCTTGTCCTGCGGGGAAGCGTGTGTGCAAGTCGGGCTTTTATTCCGTGGCATTCGGCCTTGGATGCCAAAGCACAGGGGTGAGAGTCTCTGGATTTGCCGCGGTTTCCAATCTGAGCAGGCAGAGGGGGACTTCTGCCTCTTCTCTGCAGATCCTGGGGAAAACTGGATAGTGGGTTTGCTCTCATGCAAAACATGTCCCGGGACTTGTGCATTCCTCGCTGCTTGCTCCTGAGTAGGTCCAATTGTGGCTGCAGCTGAAGTCAGCGGGCATCTGGGCCGCTGGAAGCATTTGCTGGAGTTGGGGGGGGGGAAGCAAGGGGTCCATGCTCACTTCGTGGGAGTCTTGTTAGTTCTGTGCTTTTTGCTGACCATTCTCGGGGCACCAGAGGATTTGCTAGAAGTCATGCCAGCAGCCAGAGAAGGAACCAGGGCTGGCCAAGGTCAGAGTCCAAGCAGGTTGGGTGAGGAGAGAGGCAAGTCAGAGCAGTCCAGGGTCAAGGTTGGCAGAGGCAGGGAGCAGGCAGTGCCCAGAGCCTAGGCATCGCTCCAGCCGCTCTCTGGTGGAATTTTGAGTGGGAATTGATGGAGCCACACCCCATCTGATTCCTCTCCCCCTTAGCCCAGAGGTCTCCTTGAGAGGAGGGTCTTACTCCTGAGGCATCCTTGCAGTGGTGAAAGAAGCTCGGCCGTCTGGGGCGGTGTGGATCTGAGCCCATGACCTTATTGTTATGATGCGTCTGGGGAGACGGGGGCAATTGGCAGGCCCCCAGCTGGCTCCAGCCCACCGGCCGGCAGCCGGGCGAACTCCTGTTCTTGGAACAGCATCTAAATTGCGATTCAAGCCTCAGAGACCTTTAGAGACTGAGCATGCAAGCTAGCAGAGATAAGAACTCTTTGCAACAGAAGTAGCGGACAGAGGCATATGTAAGCATATTTACAAGCATTTATTCAGCATGAGGACAAAGGAAAAACATGTCTGCTTCCCTTTGTGTCCAAGCAAACAGCAGCATAGGCAAAAGCTATACACAACAGAAGTCCCCAGCAGACTGTGCTGGAAGGAAACAGACATGTGACATACAAGAACTCCACATGCCTCTTCTAAAGGTGGAACGGAACTATATCCTAACGGTGCACCGCGGGGCCTCTGGAGTCTGCTTGCCTCCTCCCACTCTGCTGCCCTACAGCTGGGGGGGGGGAGGCATCGGGTGGACCATTTGGGCAGCACGGAGCCTGCGCGCGCACAATCCACCACGTCTCTCCCAGGAGAGACGCATGGCTTGGGCGCACTGCAGGCGCCGGGGTGAGTGCCACCCGGCATTTTGTCACCCTTCTCGGTGGTGACACCAAGGGCAGACCGCACCCACCACACCCGCCTTCCTCTGCCCCCCGCACCCTTGCCTGGAGAGCACTTCTCTAGATGGGCTGGAATCCCAGCTGGCATTTACAGCGCCAGTTCTCCCTCAGGCTTGGGCAGCCTCGGTGTCAGAGGCTTGCCCTTTTTGCAGGATCCTGGCTCCCCAGCCCTGGACAGAGCCAGACAAGGCTTGGTGTGAGTCCCGTGTCTGGAACCTGACACTGTTCCTGTGGTCTTAGGGATGTTGTCAGACTCCTCCTCCCACCACCCCGTTCCCTGTCCACTTTGACTGGTGGAAGTTGGGGTCCCGCAGTATCCAGAAGGAGGCAAGTTTCCTTTTTTGTATACAGTGGTACCTCAGGTTAAGTACTTAATTCGTTCCGGAGGTCCGTTCTTAACCTGAAACTGTTCTTAACCTGAAGCACCACTTTAGCTAATGGGGCCTGCCGCTGCGCCGCTGGAGCACGATTTCTGTTCTCACCCTGAAGCAAAGTTCTTAACCTGAAGCACTATTTCTGGGTTAGCAGAGTCTGTAACCTGAAGTGTATGTAACCTGAAGCGTATGTAACCTGAGGTACCACTGTATATAAATTTTTATTAGTTTTTTTAACATGACATTTTCAGCAATAATTAAACATACTTTTACATCTTATTCAATTTTTTTTTTACTTCCATCAGTCCTGTCTGAAAATTTTCCAATCTAATCTCTTAATATGCATTTCTTATTTTCCCTGTTACATTTAAAACTCATAACCAATATCTCTGTTCTTTATCTACTTTGTAGCACTTCATATATTCCTCCTTACAAAACTTCTTGTAGTCCCACTAGCGTAATTTGTTGGTTACAGTTGCTCTTCAAATAATTCATATACTTCTTCCAGTCTTCTGTGAATCTCTGGTCCCGCAGGTTTCGAAACCTTCCTGTCATTTTGTCCAATTCCGCATAGTCCATTATTTTCGTCTGCCATTCTTCTTTCATCGGAATTTCTTCTTGCTTCCATTTCTGGGCTACCAATAGTCTTGCCGCTGTTGTTGCATATAAAAACAATTTAACATCTTGCCAGGAGGCAGGTTTCCAATCCGTTTTCTATCCAGTGGCAGTCCTTGCGCCGGTTCTCTTTGGAACATGCGTGCCTTGTGTTAGGTGAAATAAGTGTTGTGTGTGTGTGTTTTTAAGGGCGGTGGTGGGGAGATGAAAGGGGTGCCTGCCTGGCTCTCGGGGGAGGCCGGCAGTTTGGGGGTTCAGCATCAGCCTTGGCGGCCCCCCTCAAGAACCAGCTTCCCAGACGGAGAGGAACTGTGGCACATCCTTCAGCATCAGAGCAGGCAGCTGCTCCCTGGACTCACCTGATTCCCAGGGCCAAGAGGATTCTGGGATGCAGGGCAGCCTTCCCAGCGCAGCCGGCTGGTCTGTTTTCACCCAGGGAGCAGGGAAAGGATCCTGGTCCGCCAGGCGTGCCGCTGCATCTCTGCGAGGCCTGAGAGCAGCCATAGCTCAGCTGCAGAGCATCTGCCTTGCAAGCAGAAGGTCCTGGGTTCAAAACCCCACCAGGTAGGGCCGGGACAGACACTCTGCCTGAAGCCCCAGAAGTTTAGGCAGGGCTGCACTAGGTGGACCAAAGGTTTGTCTAAGGCAGGAGCATCTTGTGTTCTTCCAGTGTAAACAATGGTCCTGGAACGGCATTTCGTTTAAAAATTACTTCCCTGCTGTGCCCCCCTTTCCCTTGCCTGCCTCCCCCCCTCCTCCCCCCCCCATTCCTTCCTGACCTTGAGAAGGCTCCTGCCCTCCTCCTCCTCCTCCTCGGTCGCTGCTTGCTTGCCGTGGGCCAGCGGCTGATGCGGCTGCCAAACCCCTCTTTGCTAGCCTAAGCATGTCTGCTGGCTGGGTCCCCGCCTCCGATTGCGGAAGGCTTAATGTATCGCTGGCGTAGTGAATCATTTAAGATCTCGTTCCAGCTTTCATTGTCTGTTTGGCTTCCTGCTCTCTTGGAACCCTCGAGTGAGGCTGTCACTTTGAATTAATAATAAAGGCTGGCCGGGGGGGGGGGGAGGAGGGAGAGGGCTCCTCCTTGGCTTGCGTTACTCAAGAGCGCAGACGGGCACTTGTTGAAATGCGGCTGTTGGGGGTGCGGTGGGGGCCGATACTTGCTAACTTCCACTTTCAGTAGTGGGGAGGGCGACACACACACACACACACACACAGAGCAGGTTGTTATGTAATCAAAGGGTCCTGCAGAGGAGTCACGTGCCTTATTTAATTTGCTTGGCTCATTTATTTATTTGATTTTTACCTTGCCGCTCATCTCCAAAGAGCTCCAGGGTGGTGCAAGGGGTTCACCGCTCCAGAATATAGCCGCAATGGGGGGCGGAAACTGCGCATAATTTGAGATTTCGACAAGGGCTGGAGCCTCCAGACACTTTTTATATCATTTTGGCACTCCTTTATTACATACACAACGGAACAGTCATGTTCATGACATGGCTCGCCACAAGCCTGGCAGATCTGGAATGATGCCTGATAACCGGATAGCGCTAATATTGGACTTTTGTTATTTTAACCCACATGTGACGGCACTCGTTCTGTGTGCCTATTTTAGGGTTGTCGTCATTATTATTATCTTATTATGTATTAAATTTGTATGCCGCCCTTCATCCGTAGGTCTCAGGGCAGTTCACAACATAAAAATACAGGATTAAAAAAAATAAAATTCCTTCCAGTAGCATCTTAGAGACCAACTAAGTTTGTTCTTGGTCTGAGCTTTTGTGTGCATGCATACTTCTTCAGATACACTGAAACAGAAGTCACCAGACCCTTATGTATAGTGAGAGGGTGGGGAGGGGTATTACTCAAAAGGGTGGTGGAAATGGGTGATTGGCTGATAGGTGTGGTAAACCAGTTGACGACTGTTAACTGTTAAGGACTGCAATTGGTCTTATAGGAAAAAGCAAGGGATGAGATGGCTAAAAATGTCTCTCTTCAGACCAGGTCTCTCCATGGTTTTAAGTTTGGTAATAAGTTGCAATTCAGCAACTTCTTTTTCCAGTCTATTTCTGAAATTCTTTTGTAGTAAGACAGCTACTTTGAGATCTTGTATAGAATGTCCTGGGAGATTGAAGTGTTCTCCTACTGGTTTCTCTGTCTTGTGATTCCTGATGTCAGATTTATGTCCATTTATCCTTTGGTGTAGGGTTGGGCCTGTTTGTCCAATATAGAGAGTTGAAGGGCACTCTTGGCATGTAACTAGGATGAAAAAAGAAATAAATGCATAATAAAAACAGGAGCAGACCCAATTTCATATTTTTGTTTTCATTTGTTGTTATAACTGTTCTATCTGTTTTATATAAATTGAAATCGAAACATTTTACAAGAAAAAACAAACCGAGAGGCAGTGACTGGCCCAAGGTCACCCCCAGTGTACTTACTTCATGGCCAAGTGGGAATTTGAACCCTGGTCTCTCCCAGGTCCTAGGCTGGCACTCAAACCTCTTCACCACCCAGGGCTTATCTATTCAGGTGTGTTTCTAAAGCAGGCATAGGCAAACTCAGCCCTCCAGCTGTTTTGGGACTACAACTATCATCCCTAGCTAACAGGACCAGTGGTCAGGGATGATGGGAGTTGTAGGCCCAAAACAGCTGGATGGCCGAGTTTGCCTGTGCCTGGTCTAAAACTCCTGTATTCCTCATGCTCTCGTGTGTGGCCCTTGCCTTCATCTCCAGATGGGTGCAAGGTGCCTGCCTCTAGCATTTGCTGGAGCAGGCGAGTGTGAATGGTTGAAGAGCCACCCCTGGCTCCATCCCTCATCCACAGCTCCAGTTTTAAGGACTGCGGAAGAGAGCGGCGGCTGCAGCTCCCTTGACTGGAAGGCGCCTCCAAAAGGTCTAGCACCCCCTTGCTCTGCCCGTATGCCTGCGCAGTGTCGTGGCAGAGGGTTGCCATGATCTGCGTTCCCATCCCAGTTTGGCCATGAAGCGCAGCAGCTCACTGGGGGCCAGTCTTGTGTACACTACCCAGTGGGGCGGCTTTGAAGATAAACTGCAAAGTTGCAGGGGGAAAGCCGTGTGCATCTCTTGCAAGAAGGGCAGGCAGGTAGCTTTTTTTAAGGCAAACCCTCAAATTTCACACTGGTGTACAGAAACTCAGATTCTGCAATCGGTGCGTTGAAGCGGCATTTCGGGTTTTTGCAAATACCTTTGATCGAGACTGTGGCGGACGACAGGAAGTGTTTTAGAGGGCAACCTCTGCCATTTGTACTGGATCGGTTTCGGTTGTTGTGATCCGAGGGCGCAGACAAGCTGCGTGAAGAAGCGCAGTGTTTGTTTTTAAATGCGTGTCATCCGCCTTGAAGAGGTGGCTCTGCACCCCCTCCTTAAGAGGACCTCCCTGGACCCAGAAGCATCAAACAGCTTCCACCAGTGGCAGATATCCCCCTCTTGGGGCAAGGGGCTTCAGAGGATGGGGCAGTCCGGCTTCAGGCATGCTTTGAAGAGACTGAATGTCTGGATCCATTGCCATCTGACTTCAGGCAATGAAACTGCCTTAGTTGCCCGGGTTGATGGCATTTGTCTGACATGAGATAGCTAGTGAGCGGCCCTGCCCGTTCTTCTTGACCAGGGGTCAGCAAACTTTTTCAGCAGGGGGCCAGTCCACTGTCCCTCAGATCTTGTGGGGGCGACTGGACTATATATTTTTTTGGGGGGGGAATGAACGAATTCCTATGCCCCACAAATAACCCAGAGATGCATTTTAAATAAAAGGGCACATTCTACTCATGTAAAAACATGCTGATTCCTGGACTATCCATGGGCCGGATTTAGAAGGCGATTGGGCTGGATCCGGCCCCCGGGCCTTACTTTGCCTACCCATGTTCTTGACCTTTCAGTGGCTTTCAATACCATTGACTATGGTGTCCTCTTGGAGCAGCTCAAGGAGTTTGGCATTTGTGCTTCTGTGGTCTTTCCCCCCACCTCCAGGGCTGTTCCCTTGCAGTAGATGTGGGAAGCCACTGCTTGACGCCATGGGAGCTTCTCCATGGTGTCCCACAGAATTCCTTCTTGCTCCCCATGCTATTTAACATCTACAAGAAGCCTCTGGGAGCTGTCACCAAGAGATTTGGAGTTAGGTGTCGCCCATATGCAGATGACACCCAGCTCTGTGTGATGGCCTGGGACTCGGAACCAGAGGAGACTAGTCTGCATCGGATCCTTTGCCTCAGGCATCATCTGAACCAAGTCTGGGGCCTGATCCTGAAGAGCCCCAGTCTGCACAGGTTCCCCTGCAACAAACACCAGCTGGGCCGAGTCAGGGGCCTCAGCCTGCCCTGGCTCCAGATGCGGGGACTACCTCGTTGCCTCCAGCTAGGCCATCACTTAGAGCTGCTCCACTACCGGTTGGGTCAGGGGAGGCTGAGGTGGCCCCTGGGTCTAGTAACCCACTGACATCTCCTGAGCTGCAGAGACGAAGGCCTGTGAGAAGGAGAGACCTGAGTACTTGCAGGAGGAGTGCTCGCCTTCAGGTGAGGCAGGGAGGTGAGTCGCCGGGGGATCAGGACCGGCCGCTACCCCGAAAAAGATAAAAGGCTGTCGGACCCCGCCACAGGTTGCGGGAGCAACATTGATGTATGAGAGATCCTGCCTGAGATCCTGTACCTGTCTTTGCCTGGTTTCCTGCCTCGTGTCCTGCCTTGGCCCTGTCGGACTGACTCCTAGCGGAACCTCCGGATTCTGGACCGGTCCTGGACCGCGTTTCACGGGTTACCCCTGGGGCCAGCACACTCTGTATCTATCTCTGTGTTCCATCTGAATCCTGAGAGGCGGCTGAGGTGCTGGACAGGTGCTTGCAGGCAGTGATGGGCTGGACGTGGGCCAGCAGATGGAAACTGAATCCTGAACAGACAGAGGTGTTACGTGCTCCAGGTTCTCGAGTCCAGGTGGGAAGGTAGCAGTTCTGGCTGGGGTTTCACGCTGTTTGTATCTTGCCAGGGGGTGGGGATACTCCGGATCCAACAGTTTCCAGGTGCAGCTGGTTCTCTAGCTATGACCGCTTTGGGGCAGAGATGACTTGGCTATGGTTCACCCCACACTGCTGACTTCCAGACTGGATTATTGCAACGCGCTCTGTGTGGGGCTGTCCTTGAAGACAATTGCCTCCTTCCCTGCAGACCTTCTTGGATGTTAAGATCGGCAGAGGGGAGGCCATCTTGGTAATTCAGAAGTTTGGGGGGGGGGAATCTAGGATGCTTAGTTAAGTCTGCAGCCCTGCCAAGCCTCTCAGTCTGCACATGACGTCCACCTGTTAGCAAGCTTTTCTCCACAACCGTTGCATAGAGAGTGTTGCGAAAGTGATGCAGAGATGCCTTTGACAACCCCCAACAGGAATGAGAGATCAAAACTTGATGCAGTTCTCAAAGCACTGCATCTGTGCTCTCCTCAAAACATGCCAAGGGCACTTCCAAATCCCCACCTTCCTCCCCTTAGCTTCTCTGTGGCCAGCCCAAAGCTCCCATCCCCTGCCATATTCTCTGGGGGTGATATTTTGGGTGGTGCCAGTTGCAGGGTACAGCGGCATTCGCTAGTTCCTCTCCTCTCTCCCTCTGTTTCTGAAGTCTGGGTCAGGGCAGCCCCTTCCTCTGCGCCCGGAAGCTTTGCCACGGCACCCTGTTTTTGTTAACGTTCCCCACTATGTATGCAGGAGGGGGAAGGCAGAACAAGAGGCATCAACCGTCGCCGTAATGTGTTTCCCAAGTAGAAATTAAGCTTAATTGGCCAATTATTGAAATAACTTCTTAATTTGCGGAAGATGTTGGAAAACAACTTCCCAGTCTGTTTGAGCTTGTTGTGGCAGCGCCCGGCCTTGAGATTTGATAAGGTTGCTCTGGCTGCTTCCCTTTGATCCTTGCCACCCCCAGCTGCCCGCTCCCATTTTCCTTTTTTAGGAAGTGGCTTCTTGGGTATCATTCTTGGCGCACGTCCAATGCCATCTATTCTGAGATCACAAAGCTTTCTGAATGTAAGAATTCACCTCGATAGCATAGCTCACTGTCAGAGGGGAGTTGTGGGAGGAGAGAGAGCGAGAGAAAGAAAGAAAGAAAGAAAGAAAGAAAGAAAGAAAGAGAGAGAACAATGTACTTCTGCATCCACAGAGGCTGCCCTGCAGCTGTGGGCTTTCCTGTGTGCCCAGGTGGCAGCTCCCCATGCTTGGAGGCTTGGCACCTATGGGCCAAACAGGTGCCGTATCTAGCCATCTCTGCACCCGGGGCCGGCTCCCATTTCTCTGCCCCCTGATGCCCAGAAGCAGCACTGGGGTGAGTTGAGTGTGGTTGTCGTGCTCCGAAGATCCTGCTGCTGCCACTTCAGTTTCTTGACCAGCTGGGCTGATCTTGTTGGTTTGGGCAATGCGCACGTTTACGTTTGTCCTCGTATCTTTTAGTGGTGTCTGTTCTTCTTTCTGCTGTTCGTCGATAAATTGCTTGATAGAGAGAATCCCTGGAAAGGATTTTAACTGGTGCTGTCACCTGGCTAGGGGAATCGGTCAGTTTGATTGCATGAGCTTTTAAGTTGACTCTGGGGGCCAGAAAGGAGGATTACAATAATGTGCTGGAGTAATAAGGTTTGGGAGAATCTGAAACCACTTGTGTCACTTGGAACTCTTGTGATATTAATTTATTGTATTTGATTTGGGTATGGAAATCTGTTCCTATATGTTTAGTTCTAGATATATCTTTATAAGGAAGATTAGACAAATTTGTGGTGGATAAGGCTACTTGCTATGATGGCTCTGCTTTGCCTCCAATGCTTCTGAGTACCAGTTGCTGGAAACCACAGGAGGGGAGAGTTGCTCTTGTGCCCGGGACCTGTTTGATCCCCGGCATCTCCAGGTAGGTTTGGAAAACCTTCTCTTTCTCTGTGGCGATCCCTCGTAGCTGAGTAAGATTGTCTTCCATGAACCCGGTCTTAACTGTGAGTCCTTAAGTGACTGTGGAGGCCAATTCTGGATCCACACGTCCTTCCACAGTGGGGACATTGGTTCCCAGGCGGGAGTTGCTCACAGTGTGGATTTGCCAAGCGTGCCTTCCTCTTAGCACGTTTCTCCCTTGCGTCCTGAGTTCTAGCGTCTTCAAAGCCCACAACACCTTTGGTAAAGGCTGTTCTCCAACTGGAGCGCTCGCAGGCCAGTGTTTCCCAGTTGTCGGTGTTTATACCACATTTTTTTAGATTAGTCTTTAAACCTCTTTTGTTGACCACCAGCATTATGCTTTCCATTTTTAAGTTTGGAATAGAGTAGTTGCTTGGGAAGACGATCATCAGGCATCCGCACAACATGGTCAGTCCAACAAAGTTGATGTTGAAGAATCATTGCTTCGACACGGGTGATCTTTGCTTCTTCCAGTACACTGGTATTAGTTCGCCTGCCTTCCCAAGTGATGTGTAAAACTTTTTGGAGACACCGTTGATGGAATCTTTCGCGGAGTTGGAGATGGTGTTTATAAGTGGTCCACGTTTCACAAGCAGACAGTAAGGTTTGGAAAATACTCCCTACCTCGCAAGGTGGTGCTTGTCCACGTGGGAAGGTAGCCCAACTAGGAGAAAGAAAACACTGATTCTAAAACCTCCGCTGCCTTGCAGGACATCTTTGGGAGAAGAAAAGGCTAAGGAGTAAGCCCTAGACAAATCTGGAGTCCCTAAGGCGGTTGGATGGCACCTTGTATGTCTCCCTCTTGCAACTCCAAGCTGGTGCTAAACAAATGGTTGTGCTTCCTTTGGAGCACATCAGCGAGGCTGAGAGGGGGGTCTTGTCGGCTGGGCAGCCCAGGACCTCCAGACACACGGCCCAGGCTTGCGCCCCAAGGAGGCCACTTTGTGGGTGCTGCAAACACAGCTGTTTGACTTCACCTCCGAAGGTGCACTCTATTGTCTCTCGAGACAGACGGGTGCCAACCAAAGCTGGGTACTTTTGTGGACGTATTTGCAAGTCTTGATTATGATATACCTTCAGTTTTAGGGCTTGTACTTGCTGGAGGTGATATGATCGCGTTCTCCTCCTTACCCAGTAAAGACAAATAGTCCTTGCGTATAGAAAACTACTGTATTAAGGGAGAAGGCTGGGCTAGACGTTTTGTCCCTGACATGCTACATGTCTCTATGCAGCAGACATTTTGGTACAAAGAACCTTCCCCCTGATACTCATAAACATGAGTTTTTTGAATATGTTTGATGAATCTGGCATATTTATCAATGTATGTGGCCATCTGTCAAGGATTCTTTTGTTGTGATTCCTGCATTGTGGGGGGCTGGACTAGAGGATCTCTGGGGTCCCTTCCAACTCTGCAACTCTGTGATTCTACGCCTCTGTTTCTGTTCTGTCTGTATATTGATATTTGTCTTTTACTCTTCCTGTGAGCTGCTTTGAGAGCGATTATGCATATAAGTAAAAGGACAACGGTGAAAATGAAACGGAAGCCACCCCTTGAAAGCATGCTCTGAAAGAAGGACGAGGCCTTGGGTGCTGGCGTTTCCTGGCTCCTGTCATCTCTGTATTTCCCAGCAAGTTTATGGTGTCTTTTGGCCATTGTTATTCTGTGTGCATTAATCACGAGTAACGGCACAGCTGGGTTCTGTCCTTGCAGTCACCGAGTTGGATTTGAGAGAGTCCTCATTCCACACCCTGCCAGGCGCCGTGACAGAGTAGAAATAAACCACCTCCTTGCCTTGCGTTAAGGTGGGCATGGAATTTAAGGAGTGACGAGTGTACCTTTTCTGGAGACTGTTGAGCAGAACTGCCTGCGACCATCCCATCGGTGGCTTGGGGGGGGGGCAAGCACAGCTCCCCACATAACAGGGCGAGGACCAGTACGGGCGGCAGTATTTCCAGTTAAGGTGTGGACACCCTGCACTTGCGGCCCTGTAGTCAAATTTCCACCTCCACACCTCTGGGGGCTCACCTTTTTTGAGCCAAGGAGCAGCCGTGCCTTCCCGTTGCCTGCAAACTGGAGGCGGAAAACGTTTTCCCCACAACCCGACCTTCTGATGGCTCCTGTTGCAGCGGAGTGACCTGCTCTCAGAGGAGGAGGCTGCCCGCTGTGTCCCTGCACGAGCAGCTCCTCTGAACGTGCCTCTTTTCTGAGCAGGCAGTTTCCCCTTTCTGCTTCGTTCCCCGAGAGCCACCCTTTTGCAGAGCTGCACACAGGATTGATTTTGGGGGGAGAAGGAACGTGCAGCCATCTCTCCCGGGGTTTGAAAAGTGCACAGTTCAAGGATCAAACCCTGGGCAAGGGCAAAAGGGTCCTGGGCCCCCTCAATTGATTCTGTGGCCTCGGCTTAAGGCTCCGGTTGTCCCCGCTTCCTTCCCTTCCCGCGCAGAGACAGCCATGACCCACGCTTCTCCCCTCCGGCAATCAATGCCAAATATTTTAACTTGCTCTGTGCGTGCGTGGGCTCCCTCCCTCCCCGGTTTCCCAGCATGCCTTATCTTTCCCCTCCTGCTGTGTGTCCTATTGCCTCCCTATGTGGCTATCATCATATAGGGCTTTCTGCCTAAGCCAGCTTTAAATGATTTCTCCCTCCACCCCTTTTGGTAAACATTGTGTACGGGGCTTAGCTGCAGCAGCCCTTTTCTCTGCAATTACAGCCCTGCTGGCGCAGTCCTTTCTCTCCGTGCATTAATTCCACTTCCAAAGTCCAGGGGAGGGGAGATTTATGGTGGTCTACTTTTTCCCCCTTTTTCCAATGCAGCAAAATTAGCGGCGTGGCAGAAAATCAAGGACAGGAGGTATTAGAGTTGTGGAAGTGAGCCAGAGTTGAGGGGCAGTGAATGAAGTGTCCGGGGGGGGGGGGGGCGGGAGCCACAAGCCGAGGCCAGGATCCAAGCAAAGAGGCAAAGGCTGAGAGGTAGAGCATCTGTCTTGCATGCAGAAGGACTCCAGTTCGACCCCTGACTTTCTGTGCTTTAGGAGTGGAAGCATTCTCTCTGTTTGGGCCCGTCTGTAGCCACACTTGGAACCGCGGCTCTTGCAATAAAGCCACAGGGAGGACTCCTCTGAGAGGCCACTTCTTATTTCACAGGTTCTAGGAGGGGGTTGGGGAACCTGTGGCCCTCCAGATGTTGCTGGACTCCAGCTGCTACCATCCCCAACCTCAGAGCTGGGTGGGAATTGGGAGCTGGCAGGCTGCAGGTTCCTTGCCCCTGTTACAAAAGCTCTCTCTTAGACCCCCCCCAGCTTCTGTCACTTAGACCCCCCCCCCCGGCTTCTGTTTCCACCAAGCCTGTCTCGCATCGGAATTCCAAATCCTAGGCAGGTTTAATCAGAAGCAAGATTCTCTGGGCTTGATGGACAAACTCTGAAATAAATACAGTGGTACCTCTGGTTACGTACTTAATTCGTTCTGGAGGTCCGTTCTTAACCTGAAACAGTTCTTAACCTGAAGCACCACTTTAGCTAATGGGGCCTCCTGCTGCTGCCGTGCTGCTGGAGCACAATTTCTGTTCTCATCCTGAAGCAAAATTCTTAACCCAAGGTAATATTTCTGGGTTAGCGGAGTCTGTAACCTGAAGCGTCTGTAACCTGAGGTACCACTGTACCCAGGGGATGATTTCTTAGCTTGAAAGACCAACGCTCTTCTGGAAAGCAAGTGAAAGTCTTTTCTTCTTTGGTGATCCCTCGTAGCTGAGTAAGATTTTCTTCCATAAACACTGTCTTAGCAGTGAGTTTGTAAGTGTCTGTGGAGTCCAATTCTGGATCCACACGTCCTTCCACAGTGGGGACATAGGTTTCTGGGTGGGAGTTGATCAACGATGTGGATTTGCAAGTGAAAATGGTTCCTTTCTGGCTAAGGAAGGGAGATGGGGGTGGCTTTGGGGAGCATTGGGGGCCCCACGTCACGTAAGGTGGCTGCTCTCCCGTGCTGTGGACTCTGACACCCACCCCAGCTCCCCTTCCTTCCGCCCTGACCCCCTAACCTCTTCTGTGTCTGGTTTAGCTTTCAGGCCAGCCGACCCGCCTTGAACGTTGTCATTTTCCCTCTCCTGCACGAGGACTTGACGGAGGTCATCCGGGACGTTCCCATGATGCACTTGGACGAAATCACCTTGTTCAAAAGCCGGGTGGCCGAGGAGCCGCCCAACCTGTGGGGGTGATGGCGGCGCAGCGGAGAGGGAGGCTCGGCAGGAGCGCGAAACAGCTGCTGCTTCTCCTTGGGCAGGCGGTCCAGCCCTTGAGCCTTGCGGGGCCACCCTATTCCAGTGTTCTGCAACTCAGATGCCACTTCGAGGGCAAGCTTGCCAGGGTGCCAGGCAGGCCTTGCGTATCCCGTATGAGCAAAATTTGCCCCCGAAGAAAAATCTTAATATTTATTGGTTTTAATTTCCAGCCCGCCCCGCCCCTGAGGGACTCAGGGTGGGCCACAATGAGCTGGTGATTCCTTGCTATTTAATACATGAATTCTCATGCAGCTTTAAATGTAGTTAAAGGGGAGAGGAATTTAACTTGAAAGAATGTGCTCCCTTTTCTTCCTCCTCCCGTAACTTATTCTCGGAGACGGTTGGCTCTTGTGCTTTTCGGGGGGGGGGTTCCTCTTCACTCGAATGTCTTAAGGGACTTTGTAGGTTGACGCAGAGAGTGGACGTGCCTGAGCTTTTATTTATTTGGGGGGGGGGGATTTTGGTGTGCATATGTCGTACAGCTGATCCAGCCCTCTTATCTTGAGAGGGGGATAGTTTGTGCCGCTAGGACCTGCTGTGCTGGATGCAATTTGAGTTTCCAGCTTTTTAGCCAGAGACACCTGGGATGTTTCTACACTTGCCTGCTGGGGTGCGGTCAGTTGCCAGGCCAGAGTGTCCTCCAAGTTTCATATGCATCTAAATAAAAATATCCCAGGAAGCTGTTGAGTCACGCAAAATTTACAGGATTTCCATGTCTTCTGGTGGAAGCCTCCTGCTTCCCCTCTCCAGCTCACGGTTCCGTCTCAAGCATGGCTGCCACGTGGCAGGAAGTTCTCTTGCACAAGCCCCAATGAAATGAACGGGTGCTGTGCAGGAACACTCCCGGGTCACTGCACAGGTCACCCTCATTGAGCTGGGAGCTGCTCTGAAATGCCCACAGCACAAAGTCTTGTGTCCTTTAGCTTTTACAACCTTGTAGCTGTTTATGGCGCTAAAGAAAAGCAAGCACACCTTGTAAGCAGTGGCTGGCATTGAGCTCCAATCCCAAATTGCCGTTGTGAGCATAAACGCGCGCGCGCGCGCACACACACACACACACACACACCCCTCTCTTTACAGCTCCCCAAATAACCAACCCTTCCTAACAGCTTTTTTGAAAGCAGGCTTTGCCTTTATCAGGCTAATTCTGCTGGAGGTGCTAGCTTGGACTGACACCATTTTATCAAAACCGTGCCAAAATGCTCCTTTGCCAAGGCCCTCTTCTGGGGGGGGGGGCCATGGGGGGTAACCTGGCCCTGGTCCTTCCCTCCGTCGTACCGCAGGGCCCTTCCCACTCCCATTTTTGCATTCTCCTAAAACACGAGTGGGGAGCCCGGTGCCCCCTCCAGACGTCGTTGGGACCCCCAGCTCCCCGAGAGCCAGCTTGGTCGCACTGGTCAGGGGGGCGATGGGAGCTGCAAGGCCACAGACATCTTGGAGGGGGGCGCAGAGGGTTCCCCACTCCTTTATTCAAAGGCCCTTCGCTTTCCACGTAGGGGGGTGACAGCGGCAACGTTGCAGCTTCTCCTGGGTGCAGATTTAGGTGTTCTGGAAGCAAAGCTGCATTGTTTGCAATGGGGGGGGGGGCATGGAAGGAGGGGGTAGAAGAAGCCCTCGTCTCCCTCCGTTGCTGTTTCTCAGCTTCTGCTGCTCTTCGCTTGAAGTCGTGGGCCAGCCTGAGTATCCGTAGCAATGTGTCTGTTCCAATGTGATGCTGGTATCTGTGTTAATTGGATCAACAGTGGATTTACCTGTCAGATATGGCATATAAACACTTCTGTACTCACCTTTGCTATTTTAGTATGCTCTTTTTGTGTGTGCGGGGGGGGGGGAATGACAAAAAAACTGCCTTCTATCAGACTCTCTCTCTCTCTTTTTTGTCCAGCTTCAAATGTTTTTGACTGCAACTTCCATCAGCCTCAGCCAGCTTAAACCAATATCCTCTCCTCTGGCACTGGGTCTCCACGGTATGTTTAGCCTGGAGAAGAGGGGACCAAGAGCTGGTGTGAGAGCCATCTTCAAATATCTAAAAAGTTGTCATGCGGAAGAGGGAGCAAGCTCTTTTTCTCCTGCTCTAGAGGGTGGGACCCGAACCCAGGGCTTCCCGTTACTAGGAAGGAGATTCCGACTCAACATCAGGAAGAAATTTCTGACCATTGAGAGCTGTTCGCCAGTGGAACGGACCCCTTCAGAAGGTGGTGGGCTCTTCTTTTATATATTTAGAATTTTATAGAGATTATTAGAGTACGTTTAAGTGAATTGAAGGAAGAAAAAAAATAGAAAAAGAGGGTGAGGAGAGTACATTAAAAAACAGTTTAAAAAGCAGAGGGAAACAGCAGTAACAAAATAACCATAAAATATAATTAAGGCTACAAAACTACATAGTATGTAAGTAGATGGATAAACTTCTTGCCTCCCTCCCTCCCTGCTAATCCATGTATCACTATGGTTTAGACAAATACATTCCAAATATCATTAAATTCATTGGAGGCTGTTAAAGAAAGTGGGGGGGGGCATCTGTCAGGGATGCTTCAGCTGTGATTCCTGCATTGCAGGGGGTTGGACTAGAGGACCTTTGGCGTTCCCTCCCAACTCTTCGATTCTCCAGGACCTACCCCTCTTTATCTGGAGCTGCTTCCAGGGATTGAACCAGGAATCCTCTGCAGGCAAAGCAGAGCCACCTCACCCCGGAACAATGGAAAGGTGGGGAGAGAAGCCCAACAGCTTTGCCTAGATTCTCGTTTGCAGCCTTCTCTGAGGACTGGGGCAGATCTTTGCTGTCCCCTGGTGCTGAGGAGCTACAAAGGCCACATCCGCCCCATACAGCGAGAACCCTGTGATACCACATTGAAGAGTCAAGCCTTCCCGCAGAGAAGCTGTCGCTTGTTAAGGGTGCTGCCTGCGGTTACGAGCTGCCGCCGCCTCTTCCTCTCCCAGAGCTACAATTCCCAGAGCGGTTTAATCACCCGTCCCTCTTCATGGGGGGAACTGCAGCCCTATGCAGGGAAGAAAGGTTTCTCTGCGGCCAAGTGGGGATTCGAACCCTGGTCTCCTCCCAGGCCTGAGTCCGAAGCTCTGGCCATTACGCCACACTGCTCTCTCGCTCCGCAACCCAAGTCCCGGTCACAAATCCTCCAAACGCGAAGCCGGATTTGAGTTGTTGCTGCCGCCGCTGCAGGCAGGATGCAGCAGATGTTAATAATGTGCTTATTTTCTCTCTAAGTGCCATTTTGGCATCGGTGTTAATTACAATTTATATTCGGCAGCGTTTATGTTGGGAAAAGAAACCCACCTTAATGGTCCCCAACTGAGGGGGGTGGGGGGTGGGCAAAGGGCTGTTAAGCAGAGCTCCATATGTTTGATGGGGTGCCAGGCAGGGAGGTGGGTCCCTGGACCCTCTCTCTCCTTTCGTTCCAAGTTTCATTTCAGCCCAGAGCAACTCTGGAGGTTTCTATGCAGAGGTTGGGTGGCCATCTGTCAGGGACACATTCATTGCAATTCCTGCATTGCAGGGGGCTGGACTAGATGACCGCTGGGGTCCCCGCTCAACTTTACTATTCTGTGACCTCCTCCCCTTCATCCGCTGACGCTCAGCGGCTGCACATGCTCCCTGCGGACGGCTTGAATGAGTTCATATTTAATACATGGAGCTGCTTTTAGCATCACCTTTTGGAAGAGAAAGGAATGGCTCAGGGGTGGGGACCTAAGAGGCTCCCCCCCCCCAAAAAAAAACCCCAGTCTAATGAGCATTGAGTGCATTCCCATTGAATTGTCCCTCCACCTCTCCCACAATCCCTTTGAACATCCATGGTTTGTTTGAAAGGGTTTCTGAACCACTCAGTGTCTGAAATCTAAGCGGCGTTCTTGCGTGTGGAGTGCCCAGCCCTTGCAAGAGAGGCCTGGCCCCAGTGAGGTCAGGCCTACGACCGCCTTGCTCCACCCAGGGCCCGATCCCTTCTACACACAAAGCCAGGGAGCTCTTCACTGCTTCTGGCAGTTTTAACGGCCTGAACCCCCAGCCCAGCCCACCCGGAGCAAACCCAGGGTGACCAGAACAGCCTTATCACGGGACCTGGGAGCAGGAAGGAGCTGTTTCCATGAGGTCCCTGAGGATGTTCCAGGTCGTTTGGGTGGGAGGCCATAGCCTTCCAGAGGCGGAATGGGGGACCAGTGACCCTCTCGCCCCAGGAAATAATAATCCGTTCCAGAAGTCCGTTCGACTTCCAAAATGTTTGGAAACCAAAGTGTGACTTCTGATTGGCTGCAGGAAGGTCCTGCAGCCAATCGGAAGGCGCATCGGACGTTCGGCTTCTGGAAACCAGAACAGCCACTTCCAGGTTTTGGGAGCCGATTTGTTCGGGAGCCAAAGCGTTTGAGATCCAAGGTACGACTGTAACTCAAAGTTCTTCCTGATGTTTAATCCGAATCTCCTCACTTGATCCCTCTGGATCAAGCCAGCAGCCCAGGATCCTGTTCTCATAGATGTCCAGCCAGATGCCCATGATGGGAAACTCGCAAGCAGGATTCGCGCGCAAGAGCCCTTTCCCCCTTCTGTGGTTCCCAGGGCCTGCTAATCAGAAGCACTGCAGCCATGACCGGGACAGTGACCGGTAGCCTTGCCTCTGCTTCAGAGCCACTGACCCCCCTTTCTGCCTCTGGCCAGTTTCCAGGGCTCTTCTCGGCCCCGAGGAGGTCTTGTCATAAAAATCGTGGGCTCACTGGTGCTGAGCTCTGGAGGGAGGGCAGAGGTTCGCCTTGCCAACCGTCACCGATCCATATTCATCGCTCCCCTCCACAGCTCGGGGCCGCTGCCCGCCGACACCTTTCCACTCTTCCCTGAAGCCTGTCAATGGAGCAATATTCTCGGCGCCTCCTGGGGAAGCTGCCCTCCATCAAGAGGTCCACAAGATGCTCAATTGGATGCCGTAGGCGCACCCCACCGGCTCTCCGGCAAAAGCCTCATTTCCATAGAAACCGGACAGGATGCAGGAGAAGGGGCTGTGATTAATAGCCGAGGGAGGCTGCCTTGGGCCCTCTTCAATTTTTTAGGGGGCAGAGAGGGCCAGAGGCAGACATGGGGGGGGGGGAGAGGCAGGTGCCCATAAAGCTAATGAAAACCATTTTGCCTGCGAATTCCGCAGGCAGCCTATTCCCTAGGACGTTTTCCATCCTGCTTCACCCTCCTCTTTTTAGCAAAGCAACTAGCTCTCTTCTGAAGGCTTCCCTGCCTTCCCTCCCAGTAGCGACCCCCATGGCTCAAATTAATAAAAGGACAAGCAAAGTCCTCGTCGCTGTCGCTGGTTAGTAGCTGGGGTGGGGGGTAGGGTAGGCTGATCGTGTAGCAATAAGGGGAGACCCTGACATTTGTTGTTTGAACTAAAAGAGGGTTAGGGATGGGTATTTTTCCCCCAACAGCCTTGACCCGGGGTAGAAACTCAAATCTCTAAGCTAACCACCAAAAGGCTCCTTGAAGCAAGGTTATGGTCGTCGAAACAGAATGTCTAGATGCCCATTTGTTTCCCGTGAAGTTATTACTATCCTCGTCATTTTCAATATCGCTTTATATTTTAAAGGAAAGAATCTCCAGTATTTAGCTGGCCGAGCCAGCTTCCTTCTCTTGCCTAATGGCAGAGCCGGCCTTGAAGAGATAGAGCAGAGGTGTCCGTGTTTGCTTCTGATGTTCCCTAACCAAAGAGAGAGAGAAAGATTTGCAGTGCGTCTCCTTCCAAAGTCACATTTAAGCCCCATGAAAATATTCCGTATGGTTAGATCTGAAGGCAGGCAGAGGGATTTCAGTTTAATTGCTGTGCGTCCTCCCTCCTCCCGCTTTTCTCTTTTAGCTTTCAAAATGCTCACGAGTGTAGCGTTTTTATGCTAATTCTGCGGAAGCCGGCATGCCTTTGTCTTAAATTATTTATTTTAGTTAATCCCCTTTTTTTGCCTTAAAAAGGGAGGGGGGCTCCTGAACTCCCATCTCTACACACTGAGAATGTTAAATTGGGCATTGCTAATTAGCCATTTGACAATTAAGGAACATAGAGCAAAAAAAAAACACCATTAGGACATTGGGGTTTGGGTGTTTTTTTTTGCTTTCTTTATGTATTTGTGAAGTTCTCCTCCACCCCATGTGCTCCCTTTGAAGTAAAAGCTGCGCTCAGTTCTTGCCCGTGGCTGTGGGATAAATGTGTCCTTTAAAAAAAAATTTTCCTTGTGAAAACTTTAAAAACTGCTGTGAGAGATTTAAAAACTGTGTGTGAGTGTGTAGGAAGCAATTTTATTAAATTTGTAGGCCATAATGCTCATAAATGGGAGTATTTGATAAAAACAGTGGATTTTTACAAAAGTAGTGAAAGGGATAGCTGGTCTGCGCAGGGAGGGCTTCCTCCTCCCCCCTTCACTTTTTAGTAGCTAAAATTCGTTATATATGTATGGAACACTGTGCAGGCAGCTTGCAAGCTTCAGCCCTGGCTGCAAATTATAGCATACACAACCAGCAGAGGGTCTGCCCTCCTCTGCTCCCTTCTTCCTTCGCCAGAATGGTGCATGCTCTAGTTATCTCTCGCTTGGACTACTACAATGCGCTCTACGTGGGGCTACCTTTGAAGGTGACCCGGAAACTACAACTAATCCAGAATGCGGCAGCTAGACTGGTGACTGGGAGCAGCTGCCGAGACCACATAACACCAGTCCTGAAAAACCTACATTGGCTCCCTGGAAGTTTCTGAGCACAATTCAAAGTGTTGGTGCTGACCTTTAAAGCCCTAAATGGCCTCGGTCCTGTATACCTGAAGGAGCGTCTCCACCCCCATCGTTCTACCCGGACACTGAGGTCCAGCTCCAAAGGCCTCCTGGTGGTTCCCTCCCTGCGAGAAGCCAAGCTACAGGGAACCAGGCAGAGGGCCTTCTCGGTAGTGGCACCCGCCCTGTGGAACGCCCTCCCATCAGATGTCAAGGAAATCAACAACTACCAGACTTTTAGGAGACATCTGAAGGCAGCCCTGTTTAGGGAAGCTTTTAATATCTGAAGGGCTATTGTATTTTAATATTTTTCAGGAAGCCACCCAAAGTGGCTGGGGAAACCCAGCCAGATGGGCAGGGTATAAATAAATTCTCCTCCTCCTCCTCCTCCCAATTAACCTCCATCTCCAAGGCCTACTCCTGTGTAGGGTTGCCTTGTGTCTGGAATTTCCTTGACAAAGCCAGTATTCGACCCTCGTGAACAGCGTCCGGGCGGAAAT